AGTTGTTATATTTTGTAGAAATATAAACGTTTTCTCCAAGGTCTTCTATTTTATTGATTTTAACAGTTGCATTTTTCCTGTCATAAATAATATCGAGATGGTATTCTCCTTCGTCAATGTTATACTGGTTTGCATATTCGAGATAGATGTCGTTTATTTTTTCTTGAAAAGCTTGAAGAGTTGTTTCTAAGTTTACAAGCAAACTAACTTGTAAAAGTTTTCCCTGTTCAAATTTCTCATACATACGTTTTCTTTGTTATAGTATCGAACTTCAAAACCGACCGTAAATGGGAAACCATGTATGGCTTCTGAAATGAACTTCATTCTACGAAAGCCAATAGCTTTTGTGACGGATGGTCTCTTAACCATCTTAATGGGTAGTCAAAACGATAGCCTTCATGCTTTACGGTCTCTGTCTCAAACTTTTGACCGACATTAGTAAAAAGTTCATCTAATGGTTTAGTTGTAGCAACTCTAGAATTTTCTTTTTCTATTGGAAGCATATTTTATCTAGAATAAAAATGTCGAAAGATATTGCTTCCATGAGAGAGAATACAACACAACCGACAACTCATTATGCAAGCTCTAAATAAGAACACAACAAACTTTTCAAACTATTCTAAGATATCTGAGTCATTGAAAGAAGGAAACTTAAAACTGACATTAAACCCAATGACAGATGAGTTTCTGTTTCAAGACAATAAGAACCATACTGTCTGTATAAATCCAACAAAAGGAACTTTAAACGAGAAACCTATAAATGAACTTCTTTTGAAAGCAGATGTTGACAACAAAGCTGACAAAGAATATGTAGACGATGCAATAGCAAAAGAAGAAGAAAGAGCTAACAATGCTTATGCAACAAAAGAACATACTCATCCTGAACTAGCAGACAAAACATATGTTGACAATAAAATGTCAAGTGAAGTGACAAGAGCTGAAAACGAATATTCTAAAAAGACTCATACACATTCTATATCTGAAATAACAGACTTACAAGAAACCTTAAACAGTAAAAGTGCCGTTGGACATACACATTCTATATCTGAAATAACAGACTTAAACGTTAGCCTTGAAAAGAAAGCAGACAAGAACATACACATACAAGTTTTACAACTGTTGCTATAGAAAGTATTGAAGGAACGGTTGAAGAAACTGGTGGGGATGCATTATATTGTAAACCTCCTAACTTTCCACAAGGTTTAACATCGGATGACGACATAACGACGATGAGAAACATTAGATGTAAAGATGTTTATGTCATGAAGGATGAACATAATATTAAATTCACTGCTCAAGATTTATATGACAAGAAAGCAGACAAAAAAGAGCTTCAAACATTAAAGACAGAAATACTTCAAACATTATATCCTATAGGCTCTATTTATACGTCAATGAACTCTACCAGACCAGAAGTAGTACTTGGTTTTGGAACTTGGACTCAAATAGTCGACAGGTTTTTTTTTGTGCAAAACTCTTCAAAGGAAACAGGTGGAAGTAAAACGATTTCAGGTGAAAATTTACCTGCACACAGTCACTACATAGATTTAAGTACATCTCAAGCAGGTTGGCATAGTCATAGATTTTGGGATTGGTCAGGAATGACAAAAGGTAAAGGATATGATGTTAAAGAGGACGTTAAGTTTGCTATAAATTGTTACTGGAATAACACTGATGTAGGAGGAATCCATACACATCACGTTACAGGATATACGCAAACAACGGGACAAAGTAAAGAATACATGCCACCTTAATGACAGTTTACGCATGGTATAGAAATGCTTAGTCGCATTTTCAACTTCTTTAGCATATTCGTCAGGAGTTGTCTTATATTTGTTAGGAACTTGTCTTTGAAAGTATACCACCTTGAACTTTGACAAAGTTTGAAACGAGGTCTGACAATAGTAGTTTTATCTTCTGCTTGCAGTGTGTACATTTTGCCATGTTTGCCTAAAACTTCATAATATTCTCTTGTATACTTTCTTCTATTTTTACGAACACGAATGTGAGTACCTGTCGGGTTCCCATTGTTGTCATAGTCAATAGTATTTTCCATATGGGTCGCGTTTAGGTATTTCTATTTTTACTTTGTCACCTTTCTGAAGTTTGAAGCCCGGCATTCTTTCTTGTTTGTCTCTTTTGACTAAATTATTAAAATATAGTCTTTCTCTAAGTCAGGGTTGTTTTTCATTTCTTCGGGGGAGTGGTTTCCCAAACCTTTTTGTTTACGGCTATTGTAAATATTTAAAACTTGTCTCATCTTTGCCATGGAGAAGTGTCTATATTTGTCGTCATATGACATTTCATTTGCTTCACCACCTTGTGGTTGGTTTAAGTCTCTTAACATTTTTATACAACCGTCAATGACACCAAGAGCAGAATGGTTTTGGTCGACAATGAAATATTGGTTTACATTTTTTGAACGCAGATAGTTTTTTACATCATCTGATTTGAAAGAACTTTCACAGTCAGATGTCAGTTTTGTTGGATGGTATTTGTCAACGAATATTGTCAAAGCAGTTTTCACATCTAAAATATTTTTGGACCATAATGGTATGGCTTCACAGTATCTTGTGTTTTGACCAACAAATATTAGCCAGTATGGTGGTCCATCTGTTCTAACTCTCGGAATGTTTTCCAAGATATCCATAAACCAAGCATTTGGTGTTGAACTAAAGATTTTTATCATGAGTGCTTTCTTTGTCGCTTTAGAAACATAGGGGTCCTTGTTCGGATTCGTCATTTTTCCTATAAGAAATGGGTTTATTTGGCGCATTAGCAGGAGTTGCATCCAGATTTTTGCCCGCAGTGGGAACAATAGCCAGAGGTGTATTTGGAGTTGGAAGGAAGATTTTGAGTACATTAGGTATACTTAAAGAGAAAGCACAACCTATTATACAAACTGTACAGAAAGGTTGGGATGTAGCACGAGATGCAACAAATCTTATTCCAAATCCTGAAACAAGAGGAAAAGTTCAAGGATGGATGGACAATGTAGGAAGACAAGCAGGAAACTATTATAACAAAGCAAAGGACTACTATAACCAAGCAGGACACTATATGGACCAAGGTGAAAGATTCTTTAACAGAGGATATAACCATGCACAACAGTGGGTAAACAATAACCAACCTCAACCGCCTCAAACGTGGGGAATGTAAAGTTTTTTACTGAGATGAAATGAACAATACAGCATTGAGACAAATGGGTTCAAGATGGATTTGTCGGCTTCCAGCAGTTACACAACGTGTTTGTCAAGTTCTTCCTATACCTCAGGAAGTTTTAGACCGACTTAAAAAACCTAAACAACCAGTTGAAAACAAACCAAACTAAAATTTTTTACTGAGATGAAATGACCGAAGAAGTTGAAACGGTAGATTTGACACCACAAACAAAAAGTTCAGAACCATTGTCAAAACCTGTCAAAGAACTTACAGATGAAGAGAAAAATTCAATAATAGAAAGTGCCAGGTCTGGAAATACAAACCCTAACTACAAAGTCACTTTTCATAGAAATGGAACGGCAAGTATCTCAAAAAAGAAACAGACTCTCACAAATAAAATATTGAAGTCTGAAGGAGCTTTCGAGACAACAGATGGAAAAGTTTACTTCACTGACCAACAGTTCATTATAGAACATCTCATTGACTTAGAGTCGAAATATTCTAAACTTTACAACAAACACAAAAAGTTGAAAGGAAAACAAAAACAAATGGCATATGATATTTATGAAGATGTTGACGACACAACTGTTCCTGCAGGTGAAGTAAAGTCAGAGGAACCGAAAAGTGACGAAAAACCGATAGAAGAAGAAAAACCAAAAACTGAAGATAAACCAAAACCAAAGTTTAGTTTCCAAACTAAACCAAGTCAACCTTCATTAGCTGGTATGGGTTGGTCAAAGACTTATGGCAGCAGGCGGTTATGTAAAGTAAAGAAAAAAAAATATTTTTTTTATTTTTATAAAAATGCCCCCATATAGAATGGATAGAAAATCTGCTAGAATAAAAGCAGAGTTGCAAAGATATGGTTGGAGAGTTTCGAAGAAGTTTAAATATAAGAAAGGAAGACCCATAAAAGTCTATGACAAACTGGCTGGTCTTCGCTACGAAATGGATTTGGAAACAGCACGTGCAAATTATCCAAACAGACTAGAGAGGTTAGAAGAAGAACGTCTTATGAACATGCCTTTCGATGTTAGTGAACCTCAAGTTGAAGGACACGACGGCTTTGCCAGATTCTACTGGAAACATGACGAACAATTGCATCCTTTGAGAAGGAAAAAAGGTAGTGCAGAGGATGGTCATGCTCCCATGGAAAGAACAAGATATGCATATGAGAAGTACCGTGAAGTTAGAAGTCAATTACATCTGGTCGAACCTTTACAGTAAACTTTGACGAAGGAAAGAACAAAGAAGGCTTCATGGGAGTACTTGCTGCAATTCAAGACGGAAATAAGAAAGGACACAATCTCAGATTGACCATAACAGATTTGGATGGTCACATTTACTATGCAAATGGCAATGAACAAACAGCTGCAAAACTTCTTGACGCTTTCAAGACTACAAAGAGAGAACAAATGGTTGACTCCGACTCAGACATTTTGAATGCAATTGAAGGAATTGCAAGTGTCAAGTTCGAATGGTACCAACCTAACCCTCAAGCAGTCAGACAACATGCTGGATACTTCCCGTTCATAAATAAGTCTGACATTGACTTGACAAGGTATGGAATTTACAATTCAATTGAAACAATTGTCAATGAACCTTGCATTCTTACATGTCTCAGGAACTCTGGTCTTGTTACAGAAGAGAAGATGAAGTATCTTGAGTCATGTGTGAAGACAAGGTACATTCTCAGAGGTCAATTGGCAAAAATTGCACCGTTGGCAAATGTCAATATCCGAGTCAGCATACCTACAGCTAAAGGTTCTTCACATGACGACTATGTTGTTGAGTTCAATTTACCATGGTTGAAGATTGTAATTGTCCACAACCACTTCATGTTGAACGAAAGTCTTACAAACCCATTGTTCGGAAAAGGCAAGTGCAACATTGTCAGAGCTGTAAACATTCTTTTCGAGAAAGGTTTGTTGGAACCAATTCCAGATGACAAGCTGACAGAAACTTTTGTACCAAAAGACGAAACAAACTTTTCACTGTTAGCAAGACCAAAAGTTGTTCCAGACAAAGTTCTAGTACAAAAGAAGTACACAATTCCACAAGGAGTTGGATTGTTCGGATACCAACCTGAACCAGAAGAACTTCCAATGAGGTTGCAAGAACTTCAAGATGCTATAAACAAACTTCCATTGAGACATCCAATTGACGTCAAATTGTATTGGAGAGCATCTGAGTTAGGTCAGAAGGTTTTATATGAAACAGGTTGCTTCGACGATGTTTATGAGATAACAGGAGAAGTTTCTCAGAAGATAAGAGACTCACTTGAATTTCCACAAACTGGACCAATTGGTTGCGACAAGTTCGACTCAAACGAAAAGATATACTATGTCGACCTTAACGCTGCATACATGAGGTTTGTCCAATATATTCCGACTGGAATTCCAAACGAAGATGGTGAGTTCCCGGGAAGGAACTATACAGTTGGAAAAGTCATACAACAACTGTATGATATTAGGAAAGCTTCAAACCCCAAACTTGCAATGACACTCAAATTGCTTATGAATTCGACATGGGGATATTCCATTAAGAAACCTCAAGAGATGAAGAGTAAACATTATGAGAAGGTCGACAACTTTGTTGAAAGGTTTTCTCCTTTTGTTTTGAAGTACGAATTCACTCAAGGTCAAAGTGGCTTAGTAACCACATTAAAACCTATTGTCGAACATTGGTCTTACCCTCAGTTCGCAAAAGCAGTCCTTGACAACTACAACAAATTCTTCTCCGAAGTCAAATCGAAAGTTGTGGTTTACTATGAGAACATTGACGCACTCATGACGAACGAAGAAGGGTACAACAAACTCATTGAAATGGGTTTAGTCGGTGAGAAGATGGGCTGTTTTAAGCTAGATAAGGTATTTTCCGAAGTTCATGTAATATCGAAAAGGAAATATTGGGGTATACTTGAAGACGGCACAGAAATAAAACATTGCATGAAGTAAAAATTTATTTTAAAAAAGTGACATTTTTAAAATTTTATTTGAAATGTACGCTGAGTTTGTTGGAGAAGACCGTTGGGAAACTTGTTTGTTAGATGAGAAATATGAAATGGCATACAATTTTAAAACAATATATTTTTACATATATTAAATGCTTCAGGTTGAAAAACAAAGAACAAAAGTAGCAGATACAAAACCGTTAGACTATATCTTTACAAATGCTGGTAGGACAATATCAGATGAAGAAATTTCATCCCGAACATACAGGTTTGACTATCCAATTCGTTGGCTTCAAAGTCCTTCAGATGCAAAGGCAATAGGATTTAGAAGAGTTTTGTTTTCAAATAGAACTAACGCATTTATGTTCGCAGTATATTTTCATGGGCAGTATAAAGGTTCTGATGGTCTAATAGACAAATTTGCCGAAATGAGAATCTTTACAGTTCGTTCAGACGAAAGTCTTGAGAAAACTCTAAATGACTTTCAAACTCAAATGAACAAATATTATTGGGAATTTCAAGAAAAATACGACTCTTTACTAAATGGAACATACTATCTGAAAATAGAATATGACAAGATGAACTCCACCGTTTCATTTCAAAAGATTGAAATTAACCCTCCAAGAGATACAGAGTTTTTATTTTGGGAAGTAGACAAACGTTCTTGGGCACAATTTCTTCGGTTACTAAACCAGAACGAACCATTACCACCAGATGGTCCATTTAAATTTATACTTCCACCAGCAGATTTGACAGTTTATAGAAACGTGTTTGACCCTCAAAATGTTATGTGTCATGCAAGTTTCAGTTCAAGCAACAATAGTTTTCTATGTATTGGTAAGGACTTTTATGACTTTGCTTCTAAATTCTACGAACCACCTAGTAACAGTTTCTCTGACTTTCAAGTTTGGTTCACAACAAATGGTGTGCAACATATTATTCCATTGTACTATGACTTTTATCTCGAATTGTCTTTCATATATAACTACGGAAAAGTGCTGAAAAAGTATTGAAAAATAATGTTTAGGGTAGAAGGTTAGATCTAACACGTACTGCTTCAGAACAATATTTGTACTGCTTCAGAACAATATTTGTACTTTTTCAGAACAATACTTGTACTGTTTCAGAACAATACTTGTACTTTTTCAGAACAATACTTGTACTGTTTCAGAACAATACTTGTACTTTTTCAGAACAATACTTGTACTTTTTCAGAACAAATTTCCCGTAAAAGCTCTCAATTTGTGAGAAAAATTTTCTGTTTCAGAACAATATTTGTACTGTTTCAGAACAATATTTGTACTGTTTCAGAACAATATTTGTACTGTTTCAGAACAATATTTGTACTGTTTCAGAACAATATTTGTACTGCTTCAGAACAATATTTGTACTGTTTCAGAACAATATTTGTACTGTTTCAGAACAATGTCCGACGTACCACCAACCGAGTCCATTCCCAAACCAGAGGAACCTAAAGCACCAGCCCCTGCACCTCAGTTCCAGCAAGTACCTCCGAATTTCTACCAATTTCCACCTCAAGGTTACTACCCACCACAAGGCTTCCCGAACTACCCTCCTCTGCCTATGCCTTACTTCCCCAACCCTTGGATGTTCCAGCAAGCTCCACCCCAGCAATTCCAATCTCAATCCAAATCGAAGAGAGACCAAGAGTTCGAAGAAGGTCTGAACCGTTTACGCAAAGAGTATGCCCCAGCTCCAATTGAGAGAAAGTTGTTCCCGGACCAAAAATATAATTTAGGGTAGATGGTTAGATCTAACCTGTCTTCTACCCTCTTTTCTAACCTCTTGAATTTTCATGACTTCTTCGTAAATGTTTTGTCAAGACTTCTTCGTAAATGTTTTGTCAAGACTTCATCGTAATGAGTGTAAAGGACCCAAAAATATAATTTAGGGTAGATGGTTAGATCTAACCTGTTTTCTAACCTGTTTTCTAACATGGTCTAAAACTCTCGAAAATCATGAAATTTACACCAAAAATATAATTTAGGGTAGATGGTTAGATCTAACCTGTTTTCTACCCTCTTTTCTACCCTCTTGAATTTTCATGACTTCATCGTAAATGTTTTGTCAAGACTTCATCGTAATGAGTGTAAAGGACCCAAAAATAATGTTTAGGGTAGATGGTTAGATCTAACCTGTTTTCTAACCTCATTTCTACCCTCTTGAATTTTCATGACTTCTTCGTAAATGTTTTGTCAAGACTTCTTCGTAATGAGTGTAAAGGACCCAAAAATATAATTTAGGGTAGAAGGTTAGATCTAACCTCTTTTCTAACCTCTTTTCTACCCTCTTGAATTTTCATGAATTTTCCCGAAATAAAAAATAAAGTTAGTTTTATTTTTTTTTATTTTTTTATTTTGTATGTAAAGACATGATTTCAACAATCGGCACAACAACAATTCAAACAACTACAGCACCAAACTCTTTAGTCATGAATCCAACATCTATGTTAGTAGAAATGAAAAGCTTCATTCCTTCTTCATATACTTTTGAAACAGAAATCCAGAAGATAAAGCAAGAACTTTTAACAAGTAATTTAGACTGTAGTGCGAAAGATGAAACAAATGAACAGTATCTTTATGAAATGCAGGACATTATTGACCATTTACCCAAATTGCCTGAAATCCAACAACAAAAACTCACTATTCCTGAATTCGATGAAATAGAAGTGAAACCAACTGACTCAGTAGAAATAAAGAAGTTCATACGAAAGGTAAACTATGAGTTTCTAGGATTTCATTGCAACCATAAGGTTATGGACAAAGATTGCGACATGGTATATAAGAACATCTCTGACATATATAAATCTGAAGAATTTAAGACCTACGACAACTTTGTTTCGTTAGTTGCAAAATGTGTATGGCAGATAAGAGATAAAGATAGAAGAGGTAAGGTATGGAATGAACAAATAAGACCCGCTATGTTTGAGATGAAGAGAGCAATTGACGCTTTAGTTGTTTTAGCTGGTAAGGTTTCAGAATATAACGCAAAAATGAACCCGCAATGTTCTAAATGTAAAGCAGCAATGAGGAGATATAACTACTCCGTCAAAGAGATAGAACGTATGAGAAACGACTATGCAGACTTAAAGAAAGAAGCAGAAAACCAGCAGAAGATAAAATGGACATGTTAGAATTTCTGAACAAAAACTATCCAACAGCAGAAGATTTCCTTCTATCTGACGTCAAGAAGAAGTATAAAGAGACTTTCGGCATAGTTAAAACATTCGATGTACTAAAAGAAGAAATAGAAGCTACAAAACTGTTTAAAGTCTCACGAATTCATAACGTTTACCATGTAAAACGCTTATAAAATAACTGGGGAGAAAGAGGGTAGAAAAGAGGTTAGATCTAACCTTCTACCCTAAACATTATTTTTGCTGAATTCAGCAACAAAATTCTGAGTAAAATAATTTTTAGGGCATGTGTCAAACCGTTGAGTTTTCACAAAATTCCAAAAATAACGTTTACCATGTAAAACGCTTATAAAATAACTGGGGTAGAAAAGAGGGTAGAAAGGAGGTTAGATCTAACCTTCTACCCTAAACATTATTTTTGCTGAATTCAGCAACAAAATTCTGAGTAAAATGGCATAAGATTGCTTCCCTCGGAAAAACCGAGAGAAGAGATTCCGTATGAAAATCGTGAAATTTCTCTAGACCGGATTTTATCGGTCTAGCCTAAAACACATGAAAATCATGAAGAACAGCGAGTAGGGAAAAAAACTTAGTCGCCTAAAACTCTATGAAAATCATGAATTTCCTTAAGATAGAAAAAATAAAGTTAGTTTTATTTTTATTTATTTTTTTATCTTGTATGTAAGAACATATATGTCAAACATTGAGTTTGAAACAGTTGGAAAGATAGACAATGACACCAAAGTGGTTAGAATTGGTGATTTAAACGTAAGATACTCAAAGAAATACAACAAATATTCTTTGTCAGACATTTTATCTCCATTTGGAAAGAGACCGAAGGACTGGGTTAAAATTGCTTCTACTCAGAAAATTTTGACAAGAAATCCTGAGCTTATGATATCGGTAAGATTCTATGGAACTGCAGCATATCTTATAGACAAAAGTCTTATACCAATAGTTTTGTTATGGTTAGACCCAGTTGTTGGATATAACTTCATAACATATGGTTCATTCGATACGGAACGTTGCAGTGAAGGCTTACTTTACATCGTTCAGAAACCGAAGGACTTCAATACAAAAAGATATAAGATAGGAAGAACATATAATATAACTCTAAGATATGACTCTACAGTCAATATAGTCAAGGTTGTGTTTGTTAATGATATGAGAGCTGCAGAAACAGAACTACTTGAAAAGTTTGAGAAAATATATGGTGCTCCCATAAAAGGTAAAGAAACGTTTGAAGTAGATGAGATAGATAAAGCTATAAAATTATTTGACGAAGTTGCTGAAAAATACATGTAAAGCGTTTTATTTTGGTTTTTTTGTGAAAGTCAGAAAATAAAGTTAGTGTCATTTTTTTGTATTTTTTTGTATAAAAGATATGATTTCAGGGATTTTTTTGACGAAGTGTTACTCTTCACTTCGTCAAAAAATAACAGTTATCTAATGAAAAAGTGTCATTTTTTTGTATTTTTTTGTATGTAAGATATGATTTCAGGGATTTTTTTGACGAAGTGTCAACCTTCACTTCGTCAAAAAATAACGTTTACCATGTAAAACGCTTGTGAAAAAAACAGGTTAGAAAACAGGTTAGATCTAACCTTCTACCCTAAAATATATTTTTGCTGAATTCAGCACAAAAATCTGAGTAAAATGGCATAAGATTGCTTCCCTCGGAAAACCTTAGTCGCCAAAACTCTATGAAAACAGTGAAGAACAGCGAGACCGACTTCCTTCGGGGTCGCCTAAAACTCATGAAAACAGTGAAATTTCTCTAGACCGACTTTTATCGGCCTTGCATAAAACACATGAAAACAGTGAAGAACAGCGAGTAGGTAAGAAACCTTAGTCGCCAAAACTCTATGAAAACAGTGAAGAACAGCGAGACCGTTTTTTTTTTCTGGGTCGCCAAAACTCTATGAAAACAGTGAGTTTCCTTAAGACAGAAAAAATAAAGTTAGTTTTATTTTTATTTATTTTTTTATTTTGTATGTAAAGACAGATATGTCAACAACCGAGAACACAACAGTTATAGTTCATGAAGCCATAAATGAAGAATACGAGTACATACAGTTTAACAAACAACTCCGTCTCATTCGTTCAGTCAAAGACGATATGTACCAAATGCAAAGTATTTTGACAGCATGTTTTGCTCCAGATACCAAACATACAGACGATTGGTTCAAAAACCAAAGCACACAAGAACTTTTGAGCGAAGCACAGCGAGACCGACTTTTTTCGGGGTCGCCTAAAACTCATGAAAATCGTAAAAATTTGCCAAATGGTTTGAGAGGTTGGTATGTACATAGACTTCTTGTAAATGCTGTTGCAATGTGGGCTTCGCCTCGTTATGCTTGGTATATTTACAGACTTCTTGACGAAATTCATAGACAAGAACGTGAAGAGATGGAAAAGAAACTTCATGCAAAAGATGAAGTCATTGAAGCAAAAGACAAAAGCATTCAGAAAAGAATACCACGTTCGGTACCAAAAGGAAAGGAAAAGAACTATAAGTATATGATTTATACTGAAGAGATGGAAAATGAAGAAGACAGAGATATGGTTATGTTGCATTTAGTCAGAAGAAACAACAAAAGCTTTTACGACCTTGCTAAGATTTACAAATCTGACAGAAATTGGTTCTATCGCGAAAACTTACCGATTTCAATGACCCCAAATGAAGATGTGAAACAAATAGTTCAAGATACGTTACCTCAAACACACTATGATATTAAAGGTTGTACAATTCTTACCTTCAAAGAAGATTTGCCATTGTTAAAGGAAAAAATAACAGAGTATTTTGACAACTTCAAACAAGCAGAGTAAATGAACTCTTTATTTTTATTGACTTTTTACAATTTGAACTTTGTTTGCGTAGATATGAATTCTGAAAGAAGTATGAGGGTCTTGTATGACTTTGTACTTCTCCCATAGTTCATGTCTGTCAAACTTACCTGCCATGGACTCTTTCATAAGTTCCATGAAATCGTCTTCGGACAATCCGGGGAAAAGTATAATGTCAGTAAGTATTCTTTTAACATCCTTACTTAAACTCTTTGCTGTCTGTACACATATTACGACTGAGATGTTAAAGTGTCTGAGCTTCTTAAGAATTCGACACATATCTTGTTCTCTGTTCTTTAACAAAGGATGAGAAGCAAAGTCATCTAAGATAAGAAGACATCTATGAGGGTAGGTCTTCCAATCGTAAGATTGCAATTTCTTCGAAATGTATTCTATCTCTTTCTGTTTGTTTCTGAAGTGTTTCTTCTCTAATATTCTCTGCATTTCCTCATTTGGGTCTTTAAACTTAGAATTTATATACTCATTTATAGCATTATACTTCAAAACTCTTCTTTGGTACTTCTTTATCCAATCTAACAACTCAGTATCCTTTATACATACTAACTTAGACTTCTTTATAATATTTTTGAACGAATTGACGGTTTGGTCAAATTGACCAGAAGTACTACAAATAACAACTAACTCATAGAATGGGTTCTTCTCATCTAGTTCTTGTTGTTGTGCAGCCATTTTAAGATAAGTGAAAGTCTTACCCGACCCAGGTGGTGCAATTAGACCTGTTATACCATTCTGAGCAAATAAGAACTTGTCATGTATAGGTTTTATCTGAGCATTTTCTAACTTCCTCTTGTTCTTGTTTAAAACATTCTCAAATTTTTTGTCAATGTCAGCAAACTTTTTTTCTAACATATTTTTAGAAAAATTAAAATTTTTATCTTTTAGAAAATGTCTAGCGATTTCGCTATCTATATTCGAGACAAGCTTTTTGACAGCAAAACATCTGTCGACCATAAAATCTTACATAGTGTAAACAAGAAAGGTGAATTTGTTCTAAAGTTCTGTTTCTGGGAATATGACAAGAACCATAAAACATTAGGCAGAGAAGTCTTAAAATTTGTCAATGACAGACTTGTTGACAGAGATGACGCCGATTGGAAAGATGAAGTCCAACAAAAGTTCTTAGAATGCAAAGAAGACACATGCGCTGTTCTTGAAGATGAAATAGAAAACAGAATAGATGAGCTATTAAAGGACAAAGAACTTTTACATAAATATGGTTGCGCCAAATTTGACATAACTCCACCAGAAAAGAAGAAGAGAGAAAAGAAAGAAAAGAAAGAAAAAAGTAGAAGAAAGAAGAAAGAACCTGAACCAGTTCCAGAGAAAAAGAAATTTGACATGTAAAAATAAAATTTTATTTTTAGAACATTTCTGGGTCAATGTCAATGTTCTCTTCCTCTTTAGGAGCAAACACTGGCTTAGACTCTAAAATCTTTTTACCCAATTTACCTTGAACTTCAACTATCTTAGACTCATAATATTCATAGTCGTCTGTCTTCTTTGGTTCATAAGGTATAACAAGTTTGTATGCTTTGCCTTCTTTAAGGTTTGAAAACCTTCTGTCAAAACTTTCTTTGACTGCTAACAAACCTTCTATGTCTAAGTCTTCAAATTTCGCACCATTTTTAGTCACAATAGCAAACTTAACTGGTTCGATGTTCCAAACTTTGCTGAATGAAGACTTTTCAAAATGGTAGAAGTAAACATTCAAATATGTGAATGGGTCTAGTTCTTCTTTAAGTCCTGACATGTACTTGTTTACTGAGATGAATTTTGCCATCTTTTCTATCGGATAAAAAAAATATTTTTTTTAAAATTTACTCATAAAAATTTTTCTTTGTATATACACCTTTCTGTACGTCTAAAAGACTTTTGACATTTGCCAAGAATGTTCGTTTAGACGCTGTCATATAACCATATTCTTGACAATATTGTTTATACGAATCGTACAATGACCTTTCATCTAAACACTCAAAGTCAGTTTCATCTATGAACAGTTCATATACACTCTTGTTTGCTTCTAACAATGTTTGTCTCTCTTCGGTATGTGGAATTTGTCTTGGATTGAACTTTGAAATATCTAATGTCATAAAATATGAGAACAAGTGGTTGTAAAAGTCAGATGTCAAAGTTTCTGCTAAGTCGTCAAATATTCTGTATCTTGCATATGAGAATCTGACGTTCTGACAACTACATATCTTCTGTCAGAACTTTCTAACTTCATCGGAACAGCATTGTTTGAAACCATAATGAAGTTTGCAACATTTTCACAAACTCTTTGGTCTTTATACTTTCTTTCAACAACTCCAACTTTGTCTGTTTATAAGACTCTTCAAAGCATCTGAGTTCAAAACTTTTGTTGTATCTATACTTTGAAGTTCGTTACATACTATAAGTTTCATATTCTCTATTGAAGAGTTAAATTTACCGCAGATGTTTTCTAAGTTTGTCATATTAGGGTTCGAATAACCTTCTAATAGTTTGCATAAGATATCTGTAAAGAATGTGTTCTTACCTGTTCCTTGTTTTCCAATTATAATGAGAGCAGTTTCATTTTTAGCACTTGGATGTTGTAAGATGTTTGCAAACCAACATAAGATATATCATAAACCTTTTCGTTTCCATTGCATATAATTTCTTTGACATGGTCTAACCAAGCTTCTATAATATTTTCTTTCCATTCTACTTGTTCATATTTATATCCAGTGAAGATAGAATAGAAGTTTGGAGAAGGTGTATAAAACTTTATACCACGAACTGAAAAATCTTCAAGTTTTGACAATAAGATATCCCAAGCATCTAACATCTTCATTCCAACTTGTACAACTTTTATTTTCTTAAGTTTCTGTCTACATTCTTGTTCTGAAACTATTGTCGCTTTAGGTTTGTTAAAGACTACATCCCATTCTTTCATAACATAACATTCTGGGGCAGAGTCGACATAAATGACTAAACGTTTCAAATTCTCGACTGCTTTGTTATAGTCTCTAAATGGACACATATTTCTGAATGCTTGGAAGTCATAAAAATCTGAAACATCTATTCTGTACATTTTTATAAGAATAAAAAAATATTATTTTTTTATTCTTGACTTTGTTGTTCCATTTGTTGCATTTGTTGTTCTTGAGCTATTTGTTGTTGAAGTTGTTCTTGTAATACAATACTTTCACCAGTTGCATCTTCCAATTCGAAACTTTCTGCCGTCATTGACAATACATAGGACATAAAAGTTTTACAGGAACAAAGTTTGCGTCAACTAATGTCAACGTTATACTTGCCAAAGTGTTTGAGTTCACTAAGGTTGAAAATTCTGCATTCGAATGAACAATAGGCAAACCAGCAGAGAAAGTATTGTTTATACGCATAAGTATCTTTTGGTCATAATAGTTTCTGTCGACATTCGAAAACACTTTGAACCTAAGTTTGAAACAATATATAAATAGGTGTACTTAAAGTCAACGGAACAGACAAACCTTGTATGACACCTTTTCCTGTTATAGGAAACTGTTGGTAGTAAAAACCAGATATAAGTTTTGTATTATAGCTCATATTGTTTATAGTAAACTCAGTCGGACATCCAAACATAATGAAACCTGCTCTAGTTGCAGCACATGTTACACCCGTACTTAAAGTATTAAATAAGTCAACAAACCTGTTGGTGGTATATCTGAGTAAGTATCTTCAAAGGAGTATTTTTACCATTCACAACAATAAAGTCTTCTGGTGTCAAAAGAGCAAAACAGGCTTTAGTCGTCATTGTGTTTAAGGTTAGTTTACAATATCGTCCTTGAGGACTTTGTAAGTTTGTTGTTATAGAATTATATGACTCAGGGTTTTTAGTCGTAATAGTATAAACCATTATATCTTCTGCCATTTATATATATTTAAAAGTTTTTCTGAAAGTGGAGAAGAACTTCATCTAAACTTTCACATGGCGTTTCTTGAAGTTCTCTGTCTAAGAAGTTCAAATATTTTGTAAAGACATAGAACTTTCCTTTGTCTACACGAACAAACAAAACAGGGTCTTTCATATCGTTCAAAAGTGTGTAAGTCCTTTACATGAAATAAGTCTATATTATTTTTCTTCAAACATCTTTCAAGAAGTTTTGACATTTTTACTTAGCAAATAAATTTTAATGAAATGTTGTGGTCGTCAAATATTTTTATGACGTCTGGGAAACTATACTTTAAGTTCAACGTTTCACACCTTTCATAACGTATATCTTGTCAATGACATTATATGAAACACCACAGCAACTAATGTCGGGTTCTATTTCTTTGATGTTTATATCGTCTGCCTCTGTCAAAAGTTTCAATAGTTCTTTCAAGACTTCATGAGGTGCAATGACATATGAGTTCACTTTTACAGGGTTGTGTTCGACCAAGTTTAACATTATACTTAAAGCTTGACAAATCTTCTCCTGAGTTGAAGTTTGTCTTTCAGTTGTTGGTAGTCGTTTCGAATATCTGCAACAGAACTTAAGTCTCTGCTAACTTCAGGATATGTTGGTTGTTCTTTTACAGGAACAATTGTTTATACCATCTTCGTCTTCGTATGGTTTCCCCACTTCAACATCTCTGTCTTTGACATTGACAACAACACTTTGACTGTTTGTTTGAGTTGGTGAATTTAACTTCACATCTGCCACCGCCATTAAACCTTTTGAAACACTCACGCTTCTATTTTTCGGAAATGACATTTACTTAGAATAAAAAGATGGACGTATTCGAGTATCTCTTCGAATTGAAGCAGAACAAAGTTTACACACACAAACAATACAAATACATTGACAGAATAGTTCTTTATACAAACAATGGTAAATGTTATAGAATAGCAGTCCTTGCTGAACCTAAATATTTTCATAAAGCAAAGAAAGTTGGTATAACTGAAATGGTGAAAGTTCTTGACGTTGACAAAAATATAACAACAAAACTTACAGATATTTCTAAAAAAGTTTATCTTACAATATTATGTCAAAACTGGCGTACTGTCAATATTTGACGGAGAGAAGTCAGTTCAAGAACAACTTACTGACCTGCTGCCAAAATCTGCTCGATGGAAGCTGTCGTTATGCCAATCTGAGGAGCCCCAGCAGGTTTCATCGAACGAATCTTCAAAGAGCATCTTCCGTGAAAAGTGCTATTGGTTTTGTAAACTTCTTTGCTCTCAGTTCATCTGGACCGTCTCTGTCACCAGTATATTGTATTTGTACAGTACCAACAGTTGAAATACCACCCATAAAGTCTTCTGAGTCAGCAAATGGAATGCCAAGCCAAAAGTTTGAACGGTCTCCATTTGTATATTGAGTTTTTTGACCTCCTGTATGAGTCCATACTTTCACATATGGCATAATAGAACTTTGCATTTCAGGGTTAATGGTTGTTGTGAAGTTGTTGTTAAAGTTCATAGCATCTAATGTCAAGTTGTATGACCTCATATCCTCAACTGTAGAATATTCTTCTCTTGGATAATATTTGCCATCTATGTTTATATGATATTTAATACCGGGGTTGTAGAAACAAGAATAGTCATTTATAGTTCGTCTGAACAGTACAAACATAGTATCTGCATGTTTCATTGCAGTTGTTAAAGCAATATCTGTTCTTGCACCTGGGTCAGCACTTTGGTTTCCAACTTCACCTGCAAAGTCTTTGACAGATATTTGGTGTATAGGGAACATAAGTGGAACTGCAATATATTTGGCAGCTAAAGCATTTGAAATATCTGGGTCCAACATATAGACTGCAAGTCTGCTTTCTATTCTCTTGCATTCAAACTTTTCGCATGTAAACTTAACTGGGTCCCAAGCAGTTCCAGCAGCATTGAAATAATAGTTTACTTCATTGTTGAAGTTTGAGAAACCAAAGTCTAAGTCAACTTTGTCTTTGCAAAATTCGGCGAATGATGTTTGATTTGTTCCCTTTACGTCTGTAATAGTGAATGGGTCTTGTGTTGGTGCAATGACTAAGTTATTTTTGCTTGGAGTAAGTTCGATAGAAATTTTTCCTGCCCAGTTTGGCAAGTATCTTAAAAACCTGAAGATGAGGAAAGATGACAAAGGAACTCTAAGTTTCAGTTTTACTTTGGTTACTGCTGCTGCAGTTTGTCCAGAAAGGTTAACATAAACTCCTGGAACGTTAGGGTCAAGTCTTCTTATTTTCTCAATATTTGCATACTGGTCTGTTTGTTCTCTAGCTTGTGGTTGTACTGAGTTTCTCAAAGCGAACCATTCATAGTTTGCCCATGTTACTGTTTGAACTAAGTCAGAGTTAGAATATATCTTATATCCCATAAAAACTTCTGGAGCATATTGGTATCCGACATAGAAAATTCCATTGCAACCTTTCTTGTCAGACAACTTGGCAGAAGGTTTTATTTCAATGTCTTGTTCCACGTATAAGAATGAGTTGTCAATAGAAATAATATGAAACCTGTCGCAAGCAATATCTACTGTTGTTGAAGAACCTTCTCCAAACTCACCTACGTTTCCATAAGAAACAGCAGTTGTATATTCGTAAGTTCCAGGAACTATTTCTGACCTTCTAATGGCATTGTCGCATTCGTTATACCATTCGGAAACATTTCCGTTCATGGCATCCAAAACTGTTGGCGTTATATTCTGAGCGGCGTACATTTCATATGGGTAAAAATATAGAATAGTTGGATTTATATATCATAATAGAACCCACTCGGACCAAGCTTTACTTTCTTCCTGACTGAGTTTTTAACTCTTCTTTTTCCTTCATTGCCACTACTTTCACTAGATGAAGTTACTTCTTCACTATTTTCACTTTGTTCTACTCTTCTTCTTTGGTGTCGCTTTTGGTAACTTGCCCTCTGCTTCAAGTTGTTGCATCTTTGCCTCATGTTCACCTAGTATGTTGTAAATTTCCCATGTCCTTTTTGCCTTTGGGCTCTGGTCGCCCATCTCAGGTAACCTATATCCTAGAAAGATTTTGTCATAGTTTGTATTTGAGTCTTCGCGTATTGTTTGCATGACTCTTTCCTGAGTTTCCGGTTCAAGCTCTTCAAACAGAGCTTGTCCATATGGAATAAGCTCGTTTCCAAATATATGTTTTTGTAGCCATTCTGGTTTTCTTTCCATGTTACCAATAATATCTTTTGTGAATGGGAAAGCTTTTACCCAATGTTTCAGTCTTGCGTCATTTATTTCTGTAGTTTCCAAAGGAGGGACTTGTTCGTTTCCTTCAGGCTCTTCTAGCTGTTGTTGCTGAACTATTTCTTCCATGTCTGGTTGTATCTGAACTTCTTCCTGTGGAGTTTCTTGTACCTCATCTGGTGGTATATAAGTTCCACCAGCTGGCACATATGTTCCATCTGCAGCATAATGTCCTACCTGACTTTTCGTTTTTAAGAAAGCATTTACTAGGTCTGTTTTGGTCTGTTGTAACTCTTTTTCTTGACTTTCCACAACAGTTGCTCTAACGGCGTCATAGGCACTTTGAACTGCCTGTCTCGTTGCTGCATCTGTTATTTTCGTTATATTTTGTGCTACTTCTCTTAACTCGTTGTCGAAACCTTCAGACTTCAGTTTCTTTCCAGATGAGAAGTCGTTCACTAGTTTCACCTTACTATGAAGAGCTTCGAAGGCGTTCTTAAAGTCAGCATTCATTAAAGCTTCATTTGAACTGTCTTCATCCGCTTGTATTTTTGTCCTTATTGACCCTATAAGTTGGGCTGCTTTAGCGTTGGCTTGGGCATCTAACCAGTCATTATTAGCTTTTATATATTCTGCGCTTTTCATTGCCTTTTGCATGGCTGCGTCGTTATTTTTACTCTCTTGTGCTAAGTTTTCATACTGTACGGTTTGGTTTTGCAACTGTAAAAGTTTTTCTGCCTTTACATTTGCTTCAACTTTCTTTTTTATACTCATCGCTATCCATATATGTCTTCAGGGCTTTTTGTTTTATTTCTTCATCTTTCAGTACTTTATATTGAGTAGTATGGTTTTTCAAATTTATAACATCTTGTTCCATTTTTGCTACTTCTGCTGCTTTTTCTGACACTTTTTTCGCATATTCCTCTGTACTTAGTTCTTTCAGTTGTTCTTCTTTCTTCTTTTTCTCTACGTTTAACTCATTGAGTTTCTTTGTGTGTCTGTCATATTCTAGTTTCTTTTCGTTTTCACTTATTTGTTTCTGTATGTCTATGTTTGACTTTTTGACATCTGTTATTTGATTTTTGAGTGAACTCAAATTCATTTGACTTTGAGGGTTATAAGCTGTTCCGTCTGCAGCTCCACCATAGCCTGCCATTTTCGCTAAAAGTGCCGCTCTTAAACCTCCACTCTGTGCACCAATAACTCGGTTTAAAAGCATAGGGTTGCTTGACATTTGTTGCAACATAGTGGGGTCATTCATAATTTGTTGTTGCAACTGTTGTTGTGGTGTCAGTTTTACTATTGGATGTTTCAATGCTCTCTTCCTCTTACGTATATTCTTACGTAGCTTACGTGGCATTTTAAGTGAAGTAAAAAACGGTTTTTGACAGATGTTTATATGACACTTTTTGTTCAGCACAAAAAACTACTCGGTCAAAGTGTTGTCAGTTTTGTAAAATAACCGTCCTCTCTCATATTCTATCTTGTCATATATAAACTCATAGTCATGTATGTCCTCTAACCATCTCATAACGGTTTCCAAACCACTTTTATCGGATGTAAAGTAAAAGCATGGATGGTTATGTATAACGTCTAAAGTTTCTAAAGAGTCTCTCAAAGTCCAGTCTACTTGGTATTGAAAATCCCATGTGTTATAGAACGGCGGGTCCACTATAAAGAAAACATTTTCCTTGTCTTTATATTTTTCATACAACTCTGTCCAATGACATCTCACAAACTCTATACCCTCAATATATTTTTCTATGTCCTCTTTGAAAACATTTGTATAGTTAAGATATAAAACTTTTGACATAAGTGTTTCAATGTCATGAACTCTTATAGAACCACTATATAATAGTCTAGCAGATATACTATCCCAGTCTATATATTCTGCTTTTTTCAAAACCTCTCTCACAATATTTTTCTTATCTAATGGTATACGTTCCATCTTACCTATAGGTATCTTTTCTTTTAACTCTTTCAATATATTGTTTGTGTCTGGTATATGTTTGAGACGGTCCATATAGTTGTCGAAGTCATTGCATATAATCTTTGAGTCTGGGAATATTATATGGCACAAATGGGATATATAGAAACTTCCACCGAACAAATCTACAAATGTTAGACCATTCGGTAGTTTCTTAAGTTCTCTCAATATAATATCTTTACATTTACTCTTATTTCCAAAGAACGGTAACGGTGGTTTTGTAAAATTCATTTATATATAATAATAAAAATGTTTTTACCCGAAAAGTGACAAAGCATGTACGATGAAGAAGTCTTGACAAAACATGTACGAAGAAGAAGTCTTGAAAATTCAAGAGGTTAGAAAAGAGGTTAGAAAAGAGGTTAGATCTAACCTTCTACCCTAAACATTATTTTTTGGTCCTTTACACTCATTACGATGAAGTCTTGACAAAACATTTACGATGAAGAAGTCTTGACAAAACATGTACGATGAAGAAGTCTTGACAAAACATGTACGAAGAAGAAGTCTTGAAAATTCAAGAGGTTAGAAAAGAGGTTAGAAAAGAGGTTAGATCTAACCTTCTACCCTAAACATTATTTTTTGGTCCTTTACACTCATTACGAAGAAATCTTGACAAAACATTTACGAAGAAATCTTGACAAAACATTTACGAAGAAATCTTGACAAATTCATGAGGTTAGAAAACATGTTAGAAAACATGTTAGATCTAACATTCTACCCTAAACATTATTTTTGGGTCATTTACACTCATTACGAAGAAATCTTGACAAAACATGAAAACATATATAATTTGTGAAAAGTGAAACAAAAAAGTCAACGGCTGGTCGGCTGGGGCTCCGGTCCTCCTCTTGGGTCTTGTGCAAAATTTTTTATGGGCTAGAAGGCACGAAGTGCCTGGAAGGCCATCCCAAGAAAAAAAAATCATTTATAATAAACATCTTCAGGGCTAGAAGGCACGAAGTGCCTGGAGGCCCCACTCCCTTTTTTTTTCTTTTTTTTTTTTAATAATGCATCACATCTTAGAATTATAACATTTTTTCCATGATGTTCAAAATGATTTTTCAAAGGGAGTAATATAAATTCTAAGTAATTTGACCTTGAATGGATGTTCGATTTTAGGTGATCTTAGAGATGGGAAAATATTTTACATTGATGGAACTCAACAAGTAATAGTTAAAAAATCATATAATGATAATTTGACTTCAAACAAACCAATTATTACTGCATTTTGTGAGAAAACATCCAAATATAATTCTCTTTATCAGGATAATTCCTATCTCTGTATTGCTGTATCTCCAATAAACACAAACAAGAGCTAACTAGATATCCTTTATAATTGTTCCTTATATATAGATAAATGCAGGGGTAATTTCATATCCAAGTTATCCATAAATTTTGTTCTTTTGCTAAATACTTCATAAGTATAAAAATCAAAATTTCAATGTTCTTCAATATTCATGATAGAACAAGAAAAGGGGAACACCTTAACATATTTGCCAAAAAGAATTCAAAATACTTGCTCTGTTAAATCAAATATTGAGAGTTTACAACTCAATATTATTTCTAATTTGAGAAATCATGTATAAATGCATATCAATTCTGATACCATTTTTATCAAATTAGACAACTAAATTTCATTGAAATGTCGGATAATTTTCAGATTTCCACTTTCAATTTCGATGATTTTTAATAATTTTGGGATAATATAAATCTTTTTATAGCTGAATAAAGTAATGACATATGTTAAGCACATAGAGATGCATTTTAAGGGTCCACTGTAAGGCCAAATAAGGCCTATCGTCATCCCAAAAATATTGCTCAAGATGGTGTTTTTACTAAGGCCCAAAACTTTAAAAAACACAAAAAAATTAACTTTACTCTTTTGAGATCCTTATCGGATGTGCAACAATTTGATGCAGTATCGCAATTCGAATCCGATTTTTTAATGTAGATGTACTCTAACATTCTTGAAAAAATGCAAAATGATATTAATTAAGCTTTTCATTTCTGTATCATACACGAAACAAAATCATTTATTATACTAAAATTTATCAAAGTTTGAATAATGAAAAAAATAATATCTAAATTTTTACATTGAGTCGGCTATTGATATGGTCAATATTAAATCGTTTAAAAATGAGCATTGGCCAGAATAATACACACTAAAATACACTTTTTTAAAATGTTATCAATTTGTTATGGTATATCTTTATGATAATGAATAAAATGCTTATCTTTCATAAGTAAATACATAATTTATGCTGAAACACAAAAAATAACACGAAAATTTTTTGCCAACATTTCAAAACTAAGGATAATGTTTTGAATATATAAGCATAAGGATGTCAATTCGGAAAATTGTTTTCATTTTAGGAGAATATAATTTTCCTTTCGAAAATTTAAAAAGTGAGACGCGCAGGATTCGAACTTTTTTAAAAGTTGATTTAAATATATTCTAGTGTGGATTCTAAGGATAATATCATATTTAAAATAAGAATATACTAGTTTAGGTGGTATAATTTTTTCGATAAATTTGAGAGCATGTACGTTTAGGACATCAAAAGTGTCAATTCGCTCAGCGAAAGCTGAGCTAGCTTCGTTCTCGAAAGAATAGGGAAGGAGTGAAAGAGAGTGATACAGATGTTGACACATTCATATCATTTCAACAAATTTTGATCAAATTGAAATGCAATGAAATTCAATTCACTTCATATCCTTCAGTCAGTACATTGACATCCTTCTACATCACAATGATAACTCGTGCATCAATAGTTCTACAACTAACTCAGAAAAAACAAGATTTTTCCTTCCAGCTTACAGCTTTTAAAAAGTTTCGATGATAAAAATCACTCTACTCTTGTTTATAGATATGTGATGATAGTAGGTAAACATATTCTTATCGATTTTAATAAAAATATTTTTACGAAAATCTGAACCAATTACAGAGTTATTCATAAAGTTTATGATAACTGTAATTACTTCATCTTTGTTTTATATTTGAATAAACAATTTAATTTAATTTGCATAATTTTTTTAGTTGAAAGACAGGAAACTTAGTTGAGTTTGTATTATTTTTATCGTTCAATTCATTGTATATGTGAGTGATCCAGATATTTAAGATATTTAGAAAAAATTTATTAATTTGATTAACAAATTTTAATCAAAATAGCAAAAATCTATTTGATAGCTGTAAGCAAATAATAATTTCTATTTCAACCAAAATCACTTATTTTCATCTAAACGTATAAAATTGTCAATTTTATGAGAATAAATTTAAAATCTCATGAAATATAAAGAAGAGTAATATTTTTCAATTTTCTTTTTTTCTTTGTCTCAAATATTTTCTGTTGGGAATTTTCTTGTTATCAAAAAATAATTTTAATATTTGTTTATTTCATTACATACAATAAAATTTTAAAAACTCTATTTCTTCACAAGAAAATTTTTTTCCTTCATATGAAGAAACATTTTGTTCTCCATTTGATGCTGAGTCTAAATCTCGATTTTTGAATTTTCTTCTTTCCAAATTTCTTTTTTCCAAATTAGAAGTTTAATTCAAATTTTCAATAGTTTATATATTTTCTCAAACCGTCTTAGATTTTCTCACTTTTTAGGGATTTTCTCTCAAAATATACAAAAATAGTAATACCAATACATGTGTCTAATATACTTTAAAACCATCGTGATAAAATTCAAAAACGAAGAGAGCTTCTCTCCAAATTTTTTTCAAAATCAAAAAAATGAGATAAAAAAATATGTTTGGAAAATTCATTTTTAGCATTTTAGGAATTTTCTCACTTTTCTTCCAAATTGACATCCTTAATAAGCAATAATACTTTGTCTGGAGAATTAAATTTGTGCTATCCAATTGTCAATTCTTTGAATTTTTTATAAAATGCACGATATTCCGACATTAGCCTCTTTAAATATAAACTACATGCATCACAATATTAGTATGTAATGGCATTAAAGCGAATTTCCTAATTTCTTCTCAATTTAATTCCTAGAAAAACTTAGGAATTAATGATTGGAAATAGGTCAAAAAATTCCTAATATCAAATTCATACTTATAATAAAATCAAAATTCGAAAATATCTATTTTTCAAAACACGCATCCAGAAGCAAAAAAATAGGAAAAAATCATGTTCTTATAAAACTCGCTGATTTTGCAATTTTTATGTGATTTGAAGTGATAGAATATATTATCATCTTATTAAAACATATAATTCATTGTTACATTCACAAAATATTAATCAGAACACTAGGAAAAGTGGATTTTCGAAAAAACGATAACGATTATTTGCAAATCGCCTCTCAATTTTGAGAGACTTTCAATTTTTACAGTGGACCCTTAACTGCAAAATCAAAAAATTGCTTTTTACTCTTAAATTTGAAAACACAATCTGCAGAAAAGAGTTACAATTCTTATTCCATAAATAATTTCGAAGTATTGTGACAAAATGGTTTAAAATTAATCGTTTTCCTCTCAATTTATAAATATCTACATTTTATTTTTATTTCTGTTTTCCAATTTTTTTTTCACATCCATGCTGTTATCGCTTTTCCTTACTGACGTGATATGTAACCCAGAAGAAGTCAATCATAATGCAGGACGAGATATTATCATTAATAATTTGCATTTTAATGTTGAAATAATTTCAGATTCCGATGAAGTTACAATCAAAAAACTGTTAAATTCACCAACCAAAAAATACAAAACAGAGGATTTTAGAGTCGATATGCCCGAAGAAGTCGAAATTGAATTCAAAAAATACAAAATTACAAAAATCGATAGAGAATGCTTTAAATCTTCATCAGTAGAAACAATAAAATTACCAAAGACAGTACTTTTCATAGGAGATTCTTGTTTTTTCAATTGTCAAAAATTAGAATACGTCAATATCGCAGATACTCAAATCCAATCAATTGAACAGTATACATTTTGCAACTGCCGAGCTTTATCCGATATTATCTTACCGATTTCTTTGAATTTTTTTAGAAAATATTCTTTTTTAAATTGCTCGTCATTACAGATGATTAAAAGTGATTCCACGTTTACTGTTGAGGATGGTGCTTTCCAGAACTGTGAGATTTTAAGTTCTTTTCCCATTTTTAACTTAGTTGGACCTTTAGGCAAATATTCTTTGAGTAATACAGGAATTACATCAGCCAATTTACCAAACACGGTCACCTCAATATCAGAAGGTTGTTTTATGAACTGTTCACGCTTGAAAAAAGTTTCATTTCAGATATATTTTTCAGTAATTCCGAAATCTTTTGTTGAAAATGACAAGAAACTTCAAGAATTCATAATGTTCGGCTTTCCGAATCAAATAGAAGAGCGGGCGTTCGCAAATTCAGGGATATTGAACTTCACTTTTGAAAATATTCAAAAAATAGGGCCATGCGCCTTTTACAATTGTACAGATATAAAGAAAGTTGATCTAAAACAGTCAAAAGTGACATTTATTCCGAAATATTCGTTTTCTAACTGTAAATCATTGGAAACAGTAGTTCTTAATGATATAACAACATCAATAGGTAAATGGGCTTTTGCTTTTTCGCAGATTTCTTCAATAATTTTCACAAATAAAATTTCAAAAATTCGGAAATTTGCTTTTTACTCTTCTTCCATTCAAACAATTGAATTTAACAGTTCACAAAGTGTTTCCATCTCTAAATTTGCGTTTAGTTGCTGTAATTCTTTGATTAGTTGCGATTTTTCAGATTCAGTTTCGAAAATCGGACTTGGAGCTTTCGAAAACTCAACATTGATATCTGTAGTTCTAAGAAAATCAGTTAATTCATTAAAGAAAAATGTTTTTTACCAAAATCGAAATTTAATTTCAGCTGATTTATCGAAAACACAGTTAGAAACACTACCACAATGCACATTCTACAAGTGCTTCTCATTGATGGAGCTAAAACTCCCTAAAACCATGAAAAATTTTGAAGATCTTTCTTTGGCGTATACAGAACTACGAAATATAACATTTCATAAGAATATCAAGACATTTGGGAAACAGATATTTAGTAACTGTCGCCAATTGAATGAAATAAACCTTTCTTCAACACAATTAAAAGAAATTGGGGAATCTACGTTCGAATACAGTTCTGTAACAACAGTAATTATTCCTAAGACAATGACAACCATATCAAAGATGGCTTTTTATTATTCTTCAATTCAAAATTTAAAATTATCACCAAATATTAAACAAATTTGTTATTTAGCGTTTGGTTTCTGCGAGAAACTGAATTATATCAATCTAAATGACACATCTGTTGTTAATATTACTAAAAAGAGCTTCTTTGGATCGGGATTAAACGAAATTATTCTTCCAGACTGTTGTAAAAGGATTGAAGGATCTGCATTTAAGAGATCCAAATTAGTTACTGTTAAACTAAGTAAGAATATTGATCACATTGGCACGAAATCTTTTATGGCATGTTTATCTCTTGTTTCAATCAATTTGGAAGTGACACAATGCAAATATATTGCAAGGAAAGCATTCAAGAATACGATTTCCCTCGTAAATCTTTCTCTTCCGGAAGAATTTGAAATTTTAAATGTTGAATCTTTCTTCAGAACAGGAGTTCAGTACATTAAATTTAATGAGTCATTATCAGAGATCGGAACTCAATGCTTTGCATGCTCCAAATTACGAGAAATTGACTTATCTGAAACAAAAATCCACAAAATACCGGACGGATTGTTCTTTTTAGCCACAGATTTGTATCTAGTTAAGCTTCCCTACAAGTTGACGGAGACAGGAACCTATTCTTTCTTCATGAATCCGATTCAAAAAATTGTTTTCCCTCCAGGAGTCCAAAAATTCGCTTCAAACACCATTATGTGGTGTCCTTATCTTAAAGAGATCGAGATGAGTAGGATACATAACGCATATCTCTCGAAATTCATTTTTTCCCATCTTCATTCTTTATCCCTTATAGTTATGCCGACAACTTATATCAATACCGATCGCCAGTTCATTAATGATTGTCCCGCAATAACAGAGATAGTCTACAACAGCTCTGTTTATATGAATTGGCCAAGATGTTTCCCAATTAAGGCAATTGCATACGTAAACCGCAATTATAAAGGCGAAACATTCATGGGAGCAACGCCTAAGAGAATAATAAGGAACGTATCTTCATTACATTCCGTTCCTATGAAAATAGAAATTAATTTTACTCATAATTCGAGGCAATTCAATACTTGGCGAATTTCTAATAACATCAAGCAGATCCAAGTTGACGGAATTTACACGAATTTGTCAGAAATTGTAAGAAATTTGCTGAATTCAAGTTTTGACGAGCCTCCTCCTTATATTGACACGGATTCTCTTGTTGAGAATATTACTGCACTTACTTTTCATGATTGTGTTGATTTTAATTTAAGAGAAATTTTAATTGCTCTTTGTTTAGTAATTTACGGTATAATTGTGCTCGTTGACCGTAAATGTATCAGAAGGAGACCAACTTATTACGTCAAACCTGGTATTGTTTGGTAATTATATTATTTTTTTTTGTTATTAAGCTCTAAATCATATTTTTCGTATATAAAAATCTTATTCCCCTTAATTTATGGGAGTATAACACAAAAAATATGAAATCTAGTTTAAATAAAATATTATTTTCTATCCACAATTAATATTCTTCATTTATTTCATTTGATTGAATATATATCAAACATATAACATTTTTCCTTATCGTTATTAAGCCAATTTTCATATAATTACTCGATTATATTTCTAATAAAAATTTCTAAGAGCTTAGATTTCAATTCCTATAATAATTTCATTGTAAAATACTATGTATATTTACATGTTCGAACCATTAGGCTTCAATTACGAAAAAGTCGGTACCGAAAGATAATGACATTTATATATTACATTTACATTTGACAATCTTCATATTTATGGAGATAGAGTTCATTTGTTTAGTAAACTGGCCGATCTCAATATAAGATTAGATATTTCTTGTTGCTAAATATGCTATTTACTGTTTCTGTTCATCAATCCGCAATAAGATTCTGAACAGTAGCAACAATTAAATAACCACTAATGCCCGTAATCTTTTTTTGTGAAATCAATTTTTTTGTGAGATGGATAAATCAGATATTTGATAAATATTTCAAATGAAAGTCTGCATTGAGCAGATTAATATCTTAATTTTGCAATTTTGGTGGAAGTTCCAATTGTAAATTGACGGTTTGGAGATGGTTCATCATTATATAATATTTGTATAAAATACAAAAAAATTAAAATGCCAAAACAAGTTAGTGATGCGTCAAATATTGATACGGTTGTATTCAAAAATTGAAATGTCATATAAAGATAGAGAAAATATAATAGACAACCGAACAAAGTTGTAATATACTTTGCCAGATAGAGAAATTTATTAAGTTCGAATTCATGATATTTTTTTTTGATATCGCAATTGAAAAATCATGATTTATTCTCAGACAAAAGTCTTCACATGCAGAATAACTTGATACCTTAATTTTCAATTGCTACGGCCATTTAACGTCGGAAAAATAACTCCGTAGCATAAATTTAACTTGTAGCACCCGTATTTTTCAATAAAACTGGGTTATTTTTGATAGCCATACTACTCTACATCTGTTTATATGCATACAGCCGTGATGATACATGAAAATTCCAAACCTAAATTCTTAATTTCAAGATAATCATCAAAACTCAAGTTTGTATAATAAGCGTAGATATTGCATGCTTATCCAATATCCTCTTAATACACATCAAATTCCCCCTATTCACATGTGTTAATTTATATCAACCGTTCAGGTTCACCTTCAGATGATACATTTGAATCTTTAAAGCATTTAATCAAAATTCCAATTATTTATTTATCACAAGAAGAAGCAGAAGATTATTTAAAAAATTTTAATGTATAAAGAATTATATAATACAATCAAGAAGCAAGGATTAGAGGATAAAATTATTGATAAACAACGGGATGAATTATTTGAAACACTTTCTATTTCAAATTTTGATAGAGAATTTTTGCATTCACTCATTTTTCTAGATGATGCAGTGAAATCAAAACTAATAACAAATGAGAAATCATATTTTAATCAATTATTAACTCAATGTCGACACATTCAGTGTTCATTCTTCATGGCTGTTCAATACTTCAAAGCATTAAGCACAAACATTAAATCAAATCTATCAACCCTTTTCATTTTCAGTGGGTTTAGTCGTCAACAGTTGAACGTTATGCTTTATCAAGTGAATTTACCAATGAGCATTAATGAACTTTACACACAATATCAGCAATTAGGTGAACATGGAAAAATAATAGTTGATTTAAATAAAGGAAGTGTTAAATTTGATTAACTTTTTATAATTAATTTTTATTTTTTATTTATAATTAAACATGACAGAAATAGCAAATCTTCTACAGGTTCCATTAAAACAAGGAACAAACAAAAAGGGTGCATATAATAGAACTATGAAAGTTCCAGACGGAATGAAAGAATTAGTTCATATTGTTGCTGGTCTTCAAAAAGATGTTAAACAAATGAGAAACGTTTTAACATTACCAGAAGCTCAAGCATATGCCAAACGTCAAGGTCCAAATTGGGAAGCACACGAAGCAGACATTACGGGTCCAAATGGAAAACCTGATGGTATAAATGAAGTTTTCGTTACTGATGGTCAAGGTAATATTAAAGTCATAAATGGTTATAAATTAACTATAACTGATTATCCTAAACGTAAAGCATATAATGAACGTTATCCTATGCAGTTTGATGAAAATGGAAAAGCTGTTAAACAATACATTGGAGAAGGTGAAAATGGGCCAATTAATTCATACCGTTATAATCCATATTCTTATTTCAATGAAGAATTAAATGCTACTGAAGAGGGACCGGATGGATTACCACGATATTCTAACCAGTTTGATGGTCAATATGCAAATATTAGACCTGAAATTTCAGCTAAGAAATTCTTTAAAGTTGCTTTATTCGATCCAGTTTTCGCAAATGTTAAAGATGAACTTAAACATCAATTCCAACCAATTATAGTAGCAAGAATTGCATCAGGTGCTTTATCTCAAGCATTCAAAGATTTAATTAAGAAACCATTATATCAGCAACAAGGTTTAACTTATGATTTAGTTAAGGAATCAGATAAAAGAAAATTTGAGAAATCAGATGATTATAAGAATGCAATTAATGAATATATTAGGTCTATTAATTACAATGAAACAGCTAAAAATCAACTTCAAGAACAAATATAGGGAATAATAGATTCAAAACTTCCAGCAAAATAAAAGTTTAAATATATTTTTTTATTCGATTATAAATGAGAAGACGTTTCACTAGTCAAAAGAACACTAACGCAAAAGCAGAGATTACGGTTGGTTATAACGTAAATGATGATAAATCACGAATTATTCAAAATGTTAAAGTTAATGTTAGCCCTGAATTAACAAGGTCAGCAACTCAACCAAATTTATTAACTCGTGACTTACCGAAAAAGGAGGAGGAGCAAAATAAAGAAGATGGAGACCCAATCATTTTATCTGAACCCGGTAAAGAACCTGTTGAAATTCCCACTTATCCAACATACCCCCGCCTCTTTCATCAAACATCGAGAACCCATATAAAATAGACATTAATTCTGAATTAATGAAAATTTACCGTGATATAATAATTAATAATTATGATTCAATAATAAATTTAATTGATCAATCCGGTTTAATTATTTTACCTTATGAATCATTAATTCACATTATCGCCATTCTTTGTGATGTTCAAGATTCAGACGTTAAGATTCAATTTTTCATAGATGATGAGGTTTCATGCTGCGGAACAGTTGCAAAAATAAATCCTATAAAGGATATTAGCACAATTAAGATATCAAAGAACGGAACAACAACTGAACTTCATTTAACATATAATGATATTTATAATAAAATAGTTGATGAATATAAAATATCACTTGAAAAATTCTTTGTTAAGGCTATTTAATATTCAAGCATTAACATTATCGAATAATAATCCTTTGAATCATAATCAATAATAATTGACCTTTCACCAGTTTCTATCGTTTGTTTTATTTCTTTTTGTTCCCCACTATCCGGATCGGTCATTGTAATTGTTTTTGTTATAGTATCAGCTTTATCTTTAACTTCAATCTTTTTTCCATCGGGATATTTAAACCAAAATTCCAAAAATTCGATATTGTCAATCTGTTCATATTTTAATCTATCAATTACATTTTTAATACCATCTGAAAATCTTATGAAATGGTCATTATATGGGTTTGATTGAACTAAATTTGAATGAAGTGAAATATAACCTGTTGATGAATATGACACCGACTCATATTTTCTGAAAACACTAAAATTTATAACATGAATGAATTTCTTATTCGTTGAATTTATGAATTCTTGAGGTAATCTTATTCTAGTTTTATTTATCACTGGAAAATAACGCTTTACCATATTTTTAATCGTAATAAAAAATGTCAATTATCAATATTATTTCGAATAATAACTGTGAATTAAATTTAACAGTTAGCGGAATTTATAATGTTACTCTCGTTTCTGTGAGTGGTAAATTTAATCCCATTCTTTTAGACCCTTCAGATTATATATCATTTATTAAAGATGACCATGAAAAACGTATGATATGTATATAAATAATGTGATAGCGAAATGGAATATTAACATGATTTTAAGTTATTTAAATGAATCATTTATCGTATGGTATGAAGAAAATTTTAAATCAAAACCTGATAAACTTTTTGAACTTGATGAAATAAATAACCTTATTAAATTTCCGCTGAAAATTAAATTTTGTACTCCTCATCTTCGTTCATTGTTGGGGATATTAAATTTTGAAAAAGATGTTGGGGATGTTTTGTATTCTGACACTGGTTCCAATTTCATTTTAATCAAATGTGATAAAGTTAATACCCCAATGAGATTTTCACATCAAACATTAGACCCTAACTCTTACCCATCAATACAAAACATTTTATCCATCAACTTAAACACATTTTCTTTATCATATCCGTTTCAATTATCCGGGAATTCATTTATTCTTCATTCAAAAGATTTATCAAATATTAAATTTAGAATAACTGACCTATTTGATTGTGATTTAGAATTTATGAATGAAATATTATGGCAATTTCAAATAGAGAAAATAGCTGATGAGATAACGGATTAAATATTTATTTTTAAATCGTAATAAATGATTAAACAACAGCAACTTAAGGCGCAAAGCGCCCAGGTCCTTCAGATCATTACATACGCCATATATGCATATAATTCAAAGACGGCAGAACAAACGCAAAGGTTGAAATATGGAGATTTGGAGATAGTATTGAAAAATGACCATTTCGAATTCGTTTGCAAAGGTGGTGCAGTGATATCAAATATAAAAGAAATTTTATTTATGAATTCAAAAATTAAAGGAATAACGGATGATATAACATCAATTCCACCAGAAGAACAGAGATATTACGCATTAAATGCATTTCCTAAAGTTTTGAAGATTGGAAGATTTAATTTAAATGAGGAATTCATAGAAGGTTTCCTAAATGACATAATGAAGAAGGTGGATAAGGAATATGTGGATAGTGAGTTAATGAAGAAAGCAGATTTAGTTTATGTTGATGAAAAAGATAATGAAATTAAAGAAAAGGTTGAATGGTATCATGAATGGACATTGGAGACTTTTAAAGTTAAAGCTGATACAGAATGGGTTTCAGGATGTTTAGACATTAAAGCAGATAAAACTTATGTTAACGATGAGTTAGAGAAGAAAGCAGATAAAACAGAGCTTCAAACATTAAAGACTGAAATACTTCAAACATTATATCCTATAGGCTCTATTTATACATCAATGAATTCAACAAATCTCGCAACAGTTCTGGGTTTTGGTACGTGGCAGCAGATTGTAAACAAATTCTTATACTGTGCTAACTCTTCAAAGCAAACAGGAGGCTCAAAGAAAATTAAAGAAGCAAACTTACCCGCGCACACTCATACAGGAACGACAAACTTTTCTGGCGACCATATACACTCATTAAGAGACCACCCATTATACAACTCAGACTATGAAGCCGGTCATGATGTTTTATCTCCAGCTTATAACGATTCAACAAAAAAGACTTTTCGACAAACTGAACCAGGAGGAAATCATTCACACACTTTCACAACAAATCCAACAGGCTCGGGTGAAGATTACATGCCACCTTATATGACTGTATTCGCATGGTTCAGAGCTGCTTAAAGTCCTGAGCTCCAAAAGAGCGAACAACATGACATTTAGACAACAGGTACGAAAGGAGGAAGGCATTTATGAATTATTTTTGAATAACTGAAGGTGTCACTACGTCACCATGTGTCACCTGGTTAATTAACTTCTCTTAAAATTACTGACAACATGACATTTAGACAACAGTCCAGGAAATTTGATGCAGTCCAAAAATAAAGTTAGTTTTAAATTTATTTTTATTTTTTTATTTTGTATGTAAGAACAGAAATGTCAGTCGAAGCAAAAACATTCACGAACAAATCTAATGGCGAAACATTCACAAAAGGCACTTATAATGGTATTGAAGTCTTACGTAGAGACAAGGATGGTTACATTAATGCAACAAAGATGGCAAGAGAAGCGTGAAGGTTAAACCATTTAAACAGATTTCTCAATAGTATAGAGTGTCCAAAGGTGCGTTTAGCACAGCGCTCTATATGAGACTATTAAAGGAGATATATGCTGATTATAAATATATAATAAAAAATATGAATATATGTATATGATGAGTATGTTGTATTTTGGCGCCATGCCGGGATATAAAATGAATTTTGAGACAAGAGGCGGTTTCGCGGGAAATTTTGGCGGGATTTTTTTCATTTTTTTAATGAATCATAAAGAAAACATCCTCGCTCTTGCAAAAAAATGCAAAGACTGTAAAAAAATCTACGAGACATTGGTAAAATGCTTCGGTATGGATGCTCCTAGCTATTCCACTGTAACGTATCATGTTAGGATGTATCACTTCATGAACAAAAAGGCGCCCATCATAAAAATTGACAAAAAATCGCCGGATCAAAGAAAAATCAAAGCAATTCTTCAAGCGCTAGATAAAGACCCAAGAGCATCACTCAGAAGGATAGAGGAGATGACAAAGATACCACGTACAACAGTCAGTTATTATCTGCACAATTATTTGAACTACAAACTAGCGTATACACGTTGGGTTCCGCACAACCTTAATTCAGTTCAAAAAAAATCTAGAGTCCAATCTTCGAAAGAGCTCCTCTCTATATTGGGTGCGTATCAATCCAAGAAGTTTCGCTTTTTAGTAACAGGGGACGAGTCTTGGTTTCAATATGCAACAGAAGCCAAAATCATGTGGATCCCGAAGGATGAAAATCCGCAAACATTCCCGAAGAAAAAAATTGACACACCAATGATGATGTTGTCGGTTTTTTGGGGCGTGAATGGCATCATCGCAATTGATATTCTTCAAAAACCTAATACGATGAATGCTCAGTATCTAATTGACAATGTTCTTACTCAAATTATCAATTCTGATGAGTTTGAGAAATCCAAACAACAAAAACAAAAGTTTGCAATTCATTTTGATAATTCAAGAGTTCACAAAAGTCATAAGGTAATGAATTACTTGGTGGAAAACAATGTCAAAGTTGTTCCAAACCCAATTTATTCACCTGATATTGCACCCTCTGACTTTTATTTATTCGGCACGCTAAAAAAGAGAGCTGAAGGACGCGAATTCGCGAGTCCAGATGATCTTGAAAATTTTGTAAGAGAGCAATTTGAGCAATTTTCTCATGATGATATAAAGCGTGTCTTTCAAGCCTGGATCGATCGCTGCGAACACGTGATTGAATCCAATGGTGATTATATTTAAATAAACTTTATATATATATGTAACTTGTTTATTTCTATTCGCAGTATTCAGGTTTGTGCTAAACACACCTTTGGACACCCTATACTAAAATGCAGGAAATTCTTGAGTTTTGGATGAACGAATACGGTCAAGCCAAAAGTGGCTAGACCTCAAAACAAGCATTTTATGAACTTACTAAGGGTGTTATAAATGAATTCAAAGGTATTTACATACATCCTGACCTCGTTCATTTTGTTGCTGAATGGTGCTCTGTAAAGTATGCATTTTATGTCAAAGATATTATGGACTCCATAGACAAGAAAGTTCATGAGAAATTAGATGAAGAAGAACTCGAAGATACAGTAGAGAATGCTAAACCTTTGTTTGAAGAAGAAGTTAGAAAAATGTGCGAAAAACAATTAGAACATGAACGTGAGATATGTTATGGTTATAGAGATTCTCCATACGAACTAGACCAATGGGAACAAGAAGATTTAAAGAGAGAATTTAGAGAATATGAACTCGCTAAGATAGCATTAGAAACTGCAGAAAAGAAATTAAAAGTTTGGGGTCGTTTTGTACAAAAATATTGTGAGTAAATGAACCATTTATTTTTGTCATAAACGACCAAAAATATATTTTATCGTTAATGGTTTTTAGGTGTCACCACGTCACCATGTGTCACCTGGTTAATTAACTTCTCTTAAAATTACTGACAACATGACATTTTGACAACAGTCCAGGAAATTTGATGCAGTCCAAAAATAAAGTTAGTTTTAAAATTATTTTTATTTTTTTATTCCTATATAAATGACAGCAACAAACAACAACAGCAACTATATCGTTTCTGATGAAAAAGTTATTGATTCATTAGCTGAGGAATTAGTTACGGCAGAAACTAAAACCCTCAACGAAAGAATTGGTGAAAACAAGATTGATTTACATAACTGCCTCAAACACGATGGAGGAAGAGGAAGGAAAACTGGTATGGCTTTATTAGTAAATAAAATTTCAAATTTAACTATTATAGATGTTGATATCAATAAATCGTACAATGATGAACTTAAAGAAACAGTTAGAAAAGACATTCTATCAAAACTTTCGGATAAAGATGTTATCGTTAAAACCGCTTCAGGAGGTCTTCACATTTATTGTAACACTAATTTCTTCTATTCAGTTTCGAACAGAATGATTAAATGCTATTCCGGCAATGATTATGATATTGACATAATGACTTCTATGGATGATTCAAAGCGTTCTTTAGTAGTTATGGCTGATTCAAGAGTTCGCAAGAATGCAACAGAACCAATCAATACATACTCATTCATTCGTGGAAGTTACGACTCGACCATAACCAGAACAGTGAATGATATATTAAATGATTTGAATATTAAGGTAAGAGTTGAACAGAAGAACGAAGAAATAAAGACTATCATGAATGAAAACAAAGATGTAAACGTTGACGATAAACTTGCCCAGAGCATAGTCGATGGTATTAGTGATTTTGAAGTACATAATGACAGTGGAAACATGAATTTAGAAAAAGAAATAACATTATTCACACTGTTTCAAGCTATTAATTCGTTACCTAATCATTTAATTAATGAAGCATACGATAACGTTTATAACTTCTGCAGTTTAACAGAAAATGCTAAAAGTAATTTTGAAAAAGCACGTAGTAGATATGCACATTTCATGACTTCTCCATTTGTTTTAGTGAAGATTCTAAAACTATATCAAAAAGAATATTATGATGAATACGTTTTACCTTTATTACGTAAGCCAAAAATAACATTTGATATAAAACTTGATGACTCGTTTTTGATAACAGATATTAGACGCAAGGCTGAAAATCATCAGTATAAAAACAGTTCTGAAGTAATTGAGGATTTATCACGTGTCATCCGTTTTGTAGATTGTGGAAATAAATATTTCATTCAAAAGGACTATAATATCCACGACAAAATGAATCAAATATCATTCGTTCTTCAATCAAACATGAAAGAGTCACTTAAAATGATTAAATTATTTAAAGAAGAAGGTAAAACAATAACAGCATGGGATGTACTACTAAATCAATTATCCTCATTAACCGTTAAGGGTGTTTGCTTTAAATCTGATTCTCCAGATGTTTTCTCAACGTTTCAAGGTTATAAATACAACATTCTCGAAAAACCAGATTACTCAAAAATTGAGATGTTTATGAATTTCATTAAAGAAGCCATTTGTGATAATAACGATGAAGTGTATAAATACCTTCTCGGCTGGATTGCATCAATGATTCAACATCCTGGAATCAAGAATGAAACAGCAATTATTTTGAAAGGACTTCAGGGAACAGGTAAAAACAGATTCACAGACATTATTTCTGAACTTCTCGCTGGTTATTCATGTAAAAACATTACCGAAATAGGTGAGCTAACGGGTAATTTCAATTCAGTAGTTGAGAATAAAATGTTTCTTGTACTTAATGAACTCAAGAATGTAGGTGAAGATAGACTCGCAAACTTCAACGCTTTGAAATCAATTATTACGGATAATCAAATAAGAATTAATGAAAAGAATCAACCCAGAAGAACTGCTCAGAATGTTGCCAATTTCATTTTGGTAACTAATAACGTCTACCCTGTCAAAATTGAAGTTGGAGACAGAAGATACGTAGTTTTAAGAGTTAATGGTAAATTCAAGGGTCAATTTGATTATTTCAAGAATTTAATGGATTCATGCACAAAGGAATTTTATGATAATTTACTGACGTATTTTATGCAATATGACCTTTCATCATTTAACGTACGAATCATACCGATGACTGAAGCCAAACAAGATTTAATAGAATTATCAACAAATCCTTTAGATGAATGGATAAATACACATTATGATGAATTGTGTGCAGGTATGACGTGTAAAAATGCTCTATGCTGCAAACCATCAGACATGAAAGACAAAAACTTTCAAATGAGCATTAAGGATAAATGTGATAGGAAACAGAGAAGAATAGATGGTAAACAAACATGGTGTTATGTTTTGAAAGAAGAAATGAAAGGATTATATAAACAGGTTGAACCAAACGATAATGAGGATTCATTTACTGACGATGAAATACCTGTAAATGAGCCGCTAAGCGGCGAGACCTGAAGGTCTTGCAGTATAAAGTATGATTGGAATTTATTTTTGCATTAATCCTGCTGTGATGTCTAAATGTCATGTTGTCATCATTTTTAAGAGAAGTTAATTAACCAGGTGACACATGGTGACGTAGTGACACCTTCAGTTATTCAAAAATAATTCATAAATGCCTTCCTCCTTTCGTACCTGTTGTCTAAATGTCATGCTGTCAGTAATTTTAAGAGAAGTTAATTAACCAGGTGACACATGGTGACGTAGTGACACCTTCAGTTATTCAAAAATAAATTTTCTTATCATTCAAATTAACTAAAGATGAACTTAATAAAATGATGATAAAATAACTGATAACAAAATTTTATTTTTATATAAATGGATACCCCACAAGCTCAAAATTTACCACAAATCATAACAAGGGGGGAAATGATAAAAATGATGCAAGAACAAATTAAAAACAACAAACCACGAAAACCGAGAAAATGCGGTTATGCAGTAATGATGGAAAGAAGAACCCAGAAGGGTTCGGCGTCTCGAAGAGACGTTGTCGAAGAGGAATAAAAATTAAATTTGGATTGAGTTTAAAAATTCATCTTTATTAAATTCATCTCTTCCAATCAATTTATTTATTCTATTAAATTCTTTTATTTTTGCTTCACTCAGTTTAAGGATTGAACGGTAAGTTTCTAATTTTTCGATTATTTCTTTCCTCTCTTTATCGTTTTCAGTTCCTTTAGTTTTATGGGCATCAGCCCCGCCGCATTGCGGCTTCTTTTTGTAATAGCATATTTTTGATTTAATTCTGTTTAGTTTCTTTTTATATTCATCGTCTGGACTCTGAATCTTAATTGAATCAGGACTCTTGGATGCTTCGTTGTCACTCATTTCTTACGAAATAAAAAAATTAAATATTATTTAAATATAATGGAGTAATAAAATAAATCGGAATTTCTATTAATTTATTGTCAACTTCAACTAATGCATTGCCGTTAATATATCTAACAAATTCAGCTATTGTGTCAAATCTTCATCTTCTTTTTGTCATTGATTTATCAGTTTTTCCATAATCGAGATGAATCAAAACTTTATCCCCTTGTTTAAAATTCATGAGCCCCGAATTAATTTGTTCACGTTTAACATCATTTAACCTTTCCATTTGCTTTCTAATATATTCCCATTCTTTTGAAATATCATTTTTCATTTCCACTGGTTTCATGTTTATAGTTCTATGCCATGTATTATTGTAATAATATACTAACTGCTGTATGATGGAGTCATGATTTCCATCCCAGTATATCTGACCGTTAACCCCTAACGCATCTCTAAGAGTTCTCATTACCGCATCAACTATTTTATTATGAAACGTATATGGAGAGGATGAAAAGTAAAAATTAATTTGTGGGAAATAATGAATCATAGCTGCCTGAAATCCTTTATCACCATCACCCCTTATATTATCTACTCTTTCATGATCTAGTAAGTATTGTATAGCTCTTCTTGTTTCCTGTTCTGTTTTCCCTTTCACCGGAATGCAATATAAATATCTAGTGTTAATGTTAATGGCAAATAAATAAGTAACGTTTCCTTTTGAATATTCCAGATGATCGATTTCGTATGAATATGGATATGGAGCAAATGAAGGGCGACTAAATTTTTCCTTTAACGGTTGAATTTTCGGGTCAATTGGTTTATTTAATATCTTGAAATCCTTTTTAAAATCTTTTTGCTTCTTTAATGTTTGAAATGGATATAATAAAGTGAATGATGAAGGATTAACTGAAGGAGGAGGTACTGTCGTTGGAGGTTTTGGTATTGCAAGTGGCTTAATTTTATCTGCTTTGATTTTGGATGATGAAGTTTTAGTTGTTGATTTTCCTTTCATTAATTCTGGATGTATTCTATTCATTTGTTTTAAATATGCTGTATATAAAGGTTTGATATACTTTCCCGCTTCGAGTTTATGTTGAAGGATGAATTCCAAAAGTTGATCTTCATTTAAAAGTCGGGCTGAATATGGTTTAACTAATGAATCATAAATTAAAGCTTGTGCATCATTTATGGTCTGAAGGACCTGGGCATTTTGCACCTTTAGCTGTTGAACATTTGCTACTTTCTCTTTTGGTGTTGTTTTCGGCTTTTTCTTCTTTTGTTTTTGTTCCTTTGGTTTTTGCGGCTCAGGATTATATAATTTATATAATTCATCAATATCTTCTTCTGTTAATACTTTATTTTTGAAATCGTTCAACTGTTTAAGTCGTGATTTAGTTTTTCCCTTTGTATATTCATTATTTTTAATTTTGTCTTTAATTTCAGAAATTATTTTATCATGATATTTCAAAATTTCATTTTTATAATATGAATAATAATAATCCATATCATCACCTGTTATATTTTTATTATGTTTTTGGAGATATGATTTTAATTCATAATAATTAAGAAAATTTTGATTAAGTACTAAATCATCAATTAAATTTTCTAAATCTGCGTTATCCATTTATATAAAAATAAAATAAATGTTTTAAGGGTGCCCACCTCTTTGAATCATAGTATCAAAACCATTATTTACATATTGAATCGCATCATTAACGGTTCCTCCTTCTAAAACGGTATCAAATGGTGGAGTCCAGATTTCCTGATGATGATCATAAAATCCAGCAAAATTAACCGTATTATTAGGTAAAATATGAATCTCAGCGGTATATCTTCTATCTAAATTTGGATGCCTTATATGTATACCATTACTACCCGGATAAAATCTCAAACCTTGATTTTGTTGACGCATCAAATTATTGAAATTTCTTTCTTCAGGGGTGAATGTTCTTCTCCGTTGACGTTGTGGTGGTGGTGGTGGTCGTTGTTGCTGCTGTTGATGCTGTGGTGGGATTTGAAAAATTCGTTGTGGTTGATTATTTGGAATCTGAAAGTTAAAACCATTTGGTATAAATCTATTCGGTTCCTTTTGTCTCTTCTGTGGCATTTTATTAAAAATAAAATTTTAAATTCATGACTCAACCCCTACGTTTTTAAATTGTATTAAATAAATGGCATACAACATCCATTTTCACAACATACAGCCTTAGTGTGTGCTCCTGTTAATGCAGTCTTACCGATTGTTAAGCGAGTCATTGACCCGTTTTTAAGTTGTAAATTAATATTCTGACCATCAAATATCACTTTATCATTTATTATATCCAAATAATTTTTAGGTGTTAATTGTTTATTTTGTCGTAAACTAACACCTTTCATTTTTTGTGCAATCTTTTTAAAATCACTTCCATCAATTGAACCGTTGAATGATGTATAACATTTAGGACATAAAGCAACCATGTTATCACCTTGTTTCTCAATTGCTAAACCCAATAACTTCTTATCATGTGCTTTTTCTTCAGCTTTATTCTTTAATTTAGGTTTAAATTTCTCATCAAAACAGAAGAAATCAAATGGTGCGAATTTGAAAATGTTTTTATCATAAAATTGTTTATCGGTTACAATCGCCTGAAATGCTTGAGTGTTAGGAAGACTTGGATCGCCAGCAATAGCCCAATAAGATGAATCAGTATCACCTTCAATGAAATGAAAACGATTAACATCCATGCATTTATACATAAAATCATAAATGAAAACCAAATACCAGTATTTAGCATTATCTAAAGTGAAGAATGCCTCTTGTAAACATGTATCACATCTATAAAATCTATCTTTGAGCATCACTTGATACGTATCCTCTCCTATTTCTCTTATGTTTTTAAACTTATTTGACATACATGCAACGCGTGCCTTCTGTGCATTCATTATTTTAGTCTTTGCGTAATTTTGTGTATTCATTGCATCGTAACCATATGATCCATTAAGCGAAATCTTGCAAAATAAACTTTTTCCTTTATTTCCTTCTAATTCAGCCTTTTGTCTTTCGTTCATAAATTTGTTCGCAAATTCATTAAAACAAGTGTTTTTCGTAAATGTTAAAATTGATTGAATGTCATCAATGATAAAATGAAATCTGTCTATTAGATACCAAAGATAATAAGAAGAAAATGGTTGATATTGGTTGTGTGTTGATGCTAACTGAGTTAATTTCCTCTGTTTCTGGTCAACTGGTAGATTGTTTGATTTCATGTAATTATACATAAAACTGCCAATTGTTTTTTCATCTGTGATAATATAGGGTGTCCAAAGGTGCGTTTAGCACAGCGCTCTATATGAGACTATTAAAGGAGATATATGCTGATTATAAATATATAATAAAAAATATGAATATATGTATATGATGAGTATGTTGTATTTTGGCGCCATGCCGGGATATAAAATGAATTTTGAGACAAGAGGCGGTTTCGCGGGAAATTTTGGCGGGATTTTTTTCATTTTTTTAATGAATCATAAAGAAAACATCCTCGCTCTTGCAAAAAAATGCAAAGACTGTAAAAAAATCTACGAGACATTGGTAAAATGCTTCGGTATGGATGCTCCTAGCTATTCCACTGTAACGTATCATGTTAGGATGTATCACTTCATGAACAAAAAGGCGCCCATCATAAAAATTGACAAAAAATCGCCGGATCAAAGAAAAATCAAAGCAATTCTTCAAGCGCTAGATAAAGACCCAAGAGCATCACTCAGAAGGATAGAGGAGATGACAAAGATACCACGTACAACAGTCAGTTATTATCTGCACAATTATTTGAACTACAAACTAGCGTATACACGTTGGGTTCCGCACAACCTTAATTCAGTTCAAAAAAATCTAGAGTCCAATCTTCGAAAGAGCTCCTCTCTATATTGGGTGCGTATCAATCCAAGAAGTTTCGCTTTTTAGTAACAGGGGACGAGTCTTGGTTTCAATATGCAACAGAAGCCAAAATCATGTGGATCCCGAAGGATGAAAATCCGCAAACATTCCCGAAGAAAAAAATTGACACACCAATGATGATGTTGTCGGTTTTTTGGGGCGTGAATGGCATCATCGCAATTGATATTCTTCAAAAACCTAATACGATGAATGCTCAGTATCTAATTGACAATGTTCTTACTCAAATTATCAATTCTGATGAGTTTGAGAAATCCAAACAACAAAAACAAAAGTTTGCAATTCATTTTGATAATTCAAGAGTTCACAAAAGTCATAAGGTAATGAATTACTTGGTGGAAAACAATGTCAAAGTTGTTCCAAACCCAATTTATTCACCTGATATTGCACCCTCTGACTTTTATTTATTCGGCACGCTAAAAAAGAGAGCTGAAGGACGCGAATTCGCGAGTCCAGATGATCTTGAAAATTTTGTAAGAGAGCAATTTGAGCAATTTTCTCATGATGATTTAAAGCGTGTCTTTCAAGCCTGGATCGATCGCTGCGAACGCGTGATTGAATCCAATGGTGATTATATTTAAATAAACTTTATATATATGTAACTTGTTTATTTCTATTCGCAGTATTCAGGTTTGTGCTAAACACACCTTTGGACACCCTATATCTAAGTTTCTTATTATCGGTAAAAAGTTTATGTAATCATTAATGTATTTTTCATCAATGTGACCCTTTACTTCAGCCACGAATAAAGTATTTTTCTTCTTAATTATTCCCAGTGCTTTTGCTTTCTTTGTTGCTGTATCACAAATGATAACACCATTCAATCTTCCCGGCATATACATTTTATGGTCAGTATATTGAATGAAATCATGAGGATTAGATGAAAATGATGAATGATATAATGAATTAAAGTCAACACCAACGAAATGAGTCATAATGTTGGAAGTGTCCTCATTTGATACAGTTTTAGTTTCTGGATTATATGAAAGTTTATTAATGTGCGTGATTCCTTTAAGATTTACTCTATGTTGAACATTTGATAGACCACCCGTAATTCCATTACGGAGAATGTGATAAGCTTCAACTGAATCTAAAGTCATTGGTAAATTATTTTTTAATGCATAATTTCTTAAATTGATTCTTAAACGTTGAACATCTTCATCTTTATTTGATTTTACGACATTGCAATAACAACACATTAACTGACAATTTTCTTTAGTATGTGGTTTTTCATTATCGATTCTATCCAATGTTGGTTTATTTGCATATGTAAACGCTTTACCACACATTTTGCATTTAGATGAAAGGATTAAATCGTGATAGTATTGAAAATCATCCATTGAAACATTATTTTTAGTATCTCTTTCTGCTTTTTCATCTTGTTTCTTATATGATTCAATTTTATATTTCCAATACTTTTTCGTTAATTCAAAACTTGATTCTATCTCTTCCTCAGGATATTTTTCATTAGGATTAAAGTCTTTATATGCTAAAGCGTAACGAATCATTGAAGCATTCGATGATAAAGAAAGATTATGAAGCATATCAATTTTATAAACAAATGTTTCTTCAATAATTTTATCGATTGGGTCAATCATAATTTCAACATCTTTATTGCAATAATGAATAAAATATTCTAATCTATTCTTAAAATTTTTAGCATCATTGAGTAGAGATGTGAAAACTTAAATTTTATAATCCCTGGGATGCACTTTCTTCGATTTTTTTTAAATTTTTGGGATAAATTTTGACATCTTTTTTTTTGCTGGCGACCCCCCCGTTTAGGGCATCAAAAAAACATGTTGTTTCGTTTCAAGATCGGGATATGTTGTGAACCCGACTTCTTTCATTAATGAAGTGATTTCTTAAGTTGAATAAAAACAAATTTGATTGAAATTCATACAAAATTTCTTTTTATCATTATTATTTAAGATGCTTTTTTATGTTGAATTGTTAATTTTTTTATTTCCACCTGGGATATTTTGAATTGGGCTAGCCCAATCCCACCTCTCAATTTTCTCTCAATTGGGCAATGGGGATCCCATATAAAATGTATTGTAACAAAATTTTACATGCATAATATAGTACAATTAAACAACATTCTAAAAATATTAAATTCACATCATTTACTTGAAGATTTTATATTTTCAACAAAAATTAATACAATAATTACATTAAATTGAGGAGATTTATAATATTTATTATAAATTAAAATATTATTACTCATTAATTTGTTGAAATATTGCATTTTAGTGGTAAAAATTAAAATTTAAGTTTACATGGAGAAAAAAAAATTTTAAATTCCAAAAAAAAATTCAATTGGGATAACGATAGGGACAAAAATTTAGAATCCCCATATGCTTGGGATAAAATCACATGACTAATCATTGAGATATATTTGATAATCACTATCTGATATAGTTTCTTGAGTTAATGCTGAATAAAATGAATCTTTCGTGAATGGTTCCACTTTATATAATTCTTCTTCGGAATTCTCCCATGTGATAAATTGATAAGGGAAAAAGGATTTAACACGTGATTTATTGTTTCCGAAATCTTGAGTGAATTGGTCTAATGTCCCACCCGCTATATAATTTCTGATGTCAATAAATCTCGATTCATATGGAGCGTTTGTTTTCTTTACAATGATTTGCTTAAATTGTGAAGATGAACCCAGCATTGATTTTATTTTCCATTTTGCAGTATTTAAATCACGAAGAATTAAATTTAAATCAAACTTTCCCGAATTAAAACCTATGATATTCACTTTATTGAATTCCTCATCTAGAAGTTCTTTAAATGCTTCCTTCTGTTTTTCATTTAATGTATGGGACAAAGTCCCCGCCGTTTGCGGCTTCATTAATTCATCGTATTGACTCATATTTGATTTAGCAACTAATGAACAGGTTGAAAATAAAAATTCAATCCAGTCAGAAATAAAAGAATCACTCGAAGTTAAACAAAAATTCCTCGTATATGTTTTATCGTTTAATTTAACCGTTGATGATACCATGAATGGTTTTAAGTAAGCGTTCAAAGTTGCACACTCAGAAAGTTGTAATTCTTCTTTAGTCTCTAATGTTTCAAAGTCAAAAGTGATATAATATCTTGTCGGTTTATAATATTTCTGCAAATTGTGAGCTAATAACCACTGATATATCTTCTGTTTCGTAATATGTGGTGCATATGGTTGCTGTGTCTTTTGCAACTGAACGTCTTGAATTAATCTCCCATTATTTTCTTTACATTTCTCACAATGCTTTAAAAATCTTTTTTTGGTTTTTCCTTTCTGGATCATCACGGATAGAATAAACTTCTTCTTTACAATATGGACAAACTTTATAGCCGGTGAGTGCTTCAACGTCTGTTATTCTGTCAGCGTGAAGTTTTCCACATGGACTCTGTGTTAATAAAATATTTACTGTTTCAAATTCTGGATCTATCATTATTGATTCCACTAATGGAAAGTCTACCTTATTTATGTCCACGTCTTCTGGTTGAGGATCACAATAATAGAAATCAATATTAACATTTAACATTCTCGCTAATCTCTCACTTTCTGATGAAATGTCAAACCCTTCATATGCATCTATTGCTTCATTTAAATAGCTTCTACGAGTTTTAGGATTAACACCATCAGGAATGTTATAGAAGCGTTTAAATAACCTTCTACCTTCTGCTCTAATTTGATTATCATTCATTTTAGCTGTTCCGTTTTTGTTCATTTATGTAAGAATAAAAAATAAATAAAAATAAAGTTTATTTTTTAAAGCCCATAAAATGAATTAAGAACACATAAATTTTTATCATCTGCGACGTGACGAATACATTTTAATTTACTCAAGAATGCGTACCCTGATACATTAAATCTAATTCCTGTCTTATTTAATTTCACAACTTTGAAAAGGAATGTATGAATAGCTATAAAATGATGAGAAGATGTTTTATGGGTTGCTTCCATTTTTTCTGAAATAAATGAATAAATATAATGTTTATAAGTTTTCATATCTTTTATGTTCTTAATAACGAATGGTATAGACCTTTCAACTTCGTCTTCCTTCGGTGCTGTTCTTTCATATGAAACATTATTAGTATCTTCAATAATGAAACCACAATCACACAAAATTTTATAGGTTCCAATGGTTTCTTTTGATATTTTATCTAATAAATCAAAAACTTTATCAACACCCGTGCATTTATTTAAATAATAATTTGTGTAAATATCATGGTCTTCTTTCTTAATCGTATTAGTTGCATATGTCACGTTTTTAAGAGCTTTTTTGAATTTCTCAGAATCTAAAGGTGGTGAAAGCAGGATACAGGGGTATTCTTCATTATCAATAAATTGTAACTTATGTTTATGAATAAATTTAGTACCTTCTTCTGAAAGTGTTTCGTCTATTTCACCATTTAATAAATTTTGTGTTGATTCTGAGACATAATTTTTATATCTTTCTTCATGAGATTTCTGAACTTCTGATTCTGAAGCTGGGATATTCATTAAACCCCCTACTTCATTTTCATTATATTTTTCAACTTCTCTTAATTCCTTAATTTTTTCATCTATTTCATCTCTTATTTTTTCAGTCTTTCAATTTCATCGTATTCATCATCTTTAATCCGTTCTTCATAATATTCGGGGAAAACATCAGGTTCTTTAGGTTTTTCTTCTTCAGATGTAGGATATAAGAAATTTATAACATCATCTTTATTCATTTTTCCATCATAATCTAAATCATTTAATAACTCGGCAAATTTTTGACAATTTCTTAAATAATATTTATTAACTTCATAACCCACCTCCTCTAATATATCCTTTATTTCCTCGTTTGTGAATCCTAATTTTTTAACGTTGTTAGTTTTGACGCTCATTTCATACAAAATAAAAAAATAAAATAATAAACATAACTAAGTTTTAATTTTTCGTAAGACATGAATTTTTAAAAATTTTTTATTTTTTATTTCATTATGGTAGTGAATCTTTTATTCATGAAAATAATTATTTCTAATTTCTTTTACTCTCTCGTATATACTAGATTTAAAAAATTCAGAACTTTTACCATAATCTCCTAAATGTTTTCTTATCCCTAACGTGTGCCAGTTATTATATGAAACTGAATAAACTTTATCTTTATCTTTACACCTTTCATCACTTCCAATATATTTATATCTCAGTTTTGATTTAGCATTTTCATATTCATTAGCGTTTAATAATTCACAGTCTTCCTTTTTAAATTGATGTTTAAGATATTCAGGATTTAATACTCTACGTTTATATGCTCCTAACTTAGTTCTAAAGGTTTTTCTACAAAATTTAGGAATTCCATCCTCTTTAATGTCATCAATGATTTCCATTTCATTATTTTCAATTTCTTCTTCTCGTTTATGAGGTCTTTGATTATGACTCCATTGATTCCATGAAATTAAATATTCTTTATCATTATATTTATACCTCATTAGCTTATTTTGGCTTTCATATTCATTTAATAATTCACAATCTTCATTTTTAAATTGAAGTTTAACCCATTCAGGATTTAAACAATGTTTAATTAATCGCGGAATATCTGACATCATCTATATATAGCTTCTTTTATAAAAGATAAAAAATAAATTATTTTAAAATTAATGTTAATTTTTTTAATGATTTATAAATAAATATATTTTAATACATCGTCTATATATAGATGTAACAAAAAAAGTCACTAAACCCGTCATATCCTACTACTAGAAAATTTTTTTCCTTCATATGAAGAAACATTTTGTTCTCCATTTGATGCTGAGTCTAAATCTCGATTTTTGAATTTTCTTCTTTCCAAATTAGAAGTTTAATTCAAATTTTCAATAGTTTATATATTTTCTCAAACCGTCTTAGATTTTCTTACTTTTTGGGGATTTTCTCTCAAAATATACAAAAATAGTAATATCAATACATGTGTCTAATATACTTTAAAACCATCGTGATAAAATTCAAAAACGAAGAGAGCTTCTCTCCAAATTTTTTTCAAAATCAAAAAATGAGATAAAAAAATACGTTTGGAAAATTCATTTTTAGCATTTTAGGAATTTTCTCACTTTTCTTCCAAATTGACATCCTTACTAAATATTCATTACATATGGTTTCTCACCAAATTTTCCTATTTTGTTCAGTAAATAAATTGAATTCTATATTTCTATTCACATTTTTCCTAAATGTTAGTCACCGTTACGGTTTTTTCTTTGGGGGCTCGCAAGCTCGCCCCCAAAGAAAAAACCGTAACGGTGACTAACATTTCGGCATAGTTTAAGTCTAGGTTTTGCATTTTAAAATGTTTGTTACCTTATCTTCTTTCAAAAAGTGGCAAAAATTTGTTTGAAATTTGAAAAAGATATTTTTATTTGCATAAATGACATTCAACTAAGCTGTAGCATGATTCTTTTGCATGCTCTGGTTTTTTTCTCAGTTCAATCTCCTTCCATACTCTTGCTTGTACCAGTAAGATCGCACCAAAATTCTCAAAAATTAAGATCTTCAAATTTTATGTCCAACTCCAATTATCAAACGCCCTCATTAACGCCACTCATAGCCATCTTTCATGCATGAGAAATCGTTATTAGAAGATTTTTTATGGCTAATTATCTGATTCAATTCAGATCAATACTCAAAGCCCCATTATTTATTTATAAATCCTTGTTTGTCGCCTATGCGAATAAAAATTCTTTTTATATTTTAAACAATTTTTTTCACTTTGGAAAGAGAAAGGTGACTAACATTTTTAAAATGCAAAAACCGACTAAACTATTCTCAAATTTTATTATGTCTTGTTACATATTAAGTTCTGTCAAAATGTAAGCTATTGAATTTTTTGAGAGGAAAATAATCGTCGAGGAAGTAAAAAGTGACGCTTTAGGAAATATTATTAGAAATATGATAATAAATATATTTGGAAAAAATATGTTTTTTTTCAAAAATTGAAATGTTCATAGAATATTTTGAAATATGTAGGGAATTGAATTTGGTAATATATGATAAACAGGATTTTTAAATTTCAAGGAAAAATAGCTTTTGTGAATACTTTTGAGAACTCTTCTCAAAGATCATGATTCAAATATATTAAAGAGCCAAAATATTAGAGATGAGTTCATAATCAAATTTTTACATTTTAATTATTTAGAAAAACGTATTAACCTCAATAAAAAATATCTCAAAGATTAATAGTTAATTTAGGGTTTCCTAGCTATCTAGAGGGAATTGTTCCTTATGATGTATATATTTATAATGTATGCATCATAAGGAACAATTCCCTCGCTGAAGTGAGAAAACTTGTTCGCAATCATTTCACATTGCGAACAAGTTTTCTCGTTTTTAATAACAAACTAAAGGCTATGAGGCACTGATTATATATTAGTGCCTCATAGCCTTTAGTTCCCTGTAGATAGCTGGGAAACTTTCTCCAAATGATAAGTTATTTAGAGAAAGTTTCCCAGCTATCTAGAGGGAATTGTTCCTTATGATGTATATATTTATAATGTATGCATCATAAGGAACAATTCCCTCGCTGAAGTGAGAAAACTTGTTCGAAATTGTTTATCATTTCGAACAAGTTTTCTCGTTTTTAATAACAAACTAAAGGCTATGAGGCACTGATTATATATTAGTGCCTCATAGCCTTTAGTTCCCTGTAGAAAAGATCGAAATTTTATTGTGATTTTAACTGATCTATATTTCGCTTGCGTTATTTGAATCTTTTCTTTTGCATATGTCATTCCTTTCACTTTTCGAATTTCATTTGCCTGCATGCTCTCTCGTTTTGGTTGAAAATCAACTCAATCTTAAAATGAACTTCTTCATTCTATACAATAAATTCAATTTTTTTCGAGATATATCTTTATCTACCCCTATGTGAGCTGCATATTCTTTCTCGCTAAATTCTTTTGATTCTTTAGAGCTAAAAATCAAGTTTAATAAAAATAATGTTTATTCATAATTTTGAAAACCAAATTCAAATTTGAATGAGAATTTTTGAAAAAATATAGAATATTTCAATAGTTTGGAATCTCTTCAACTTCCCACTGCTTATTAACACATTTTTTTCCAGAGCGGTTTATCATCCTTGGTCCATTTCTTAAATTTGTTGTAAACCTCTCTTGGAGTGTATGGTCGAACTCCAATTTTTGGATGAGCGCCATGTGGCATGTCATTGTATTTTTGCCTGAATTCTTCCAATTCCTGATTGATGCTCTCAAATTCTGAAGACTTTGGAGCATTTTTGTCCAGTGATGGCCAGAGGCGTTCAATTTTGCCATTTTGACGTGGCAGGTATGGAGCTGATTTTCTGATTTGAATGTCATAAGTACTCAAAAATTTTGTGAACTCTCCCTCATTTTCTTTACCGTTATCTGACCAGAAACAGAAAGGTGCTCCATATTTTTGAACTGTTGCAATTGCCACTTTTGAAGTTTCTGTTGAACTTTTGTTACGAAGCAATTTCAATGCTAACAAATAACGACTTTTGTCATCAATTATTCCATAAACCGGTAAAGTTTCTGGTTCTTTCAAAAAATGAATATCCAGATGCCAGATTGTATTTGGAAGAATTGCTTCATAATCCACATAATATGCTTTCGAATTACTTTTATCTTTTTCTTTGTAAATTCCCAGAAATTTTGCTGCCTTAATAACTGCATTGTAACTGATTTGAAATTGTTTTGGATTCATATTGAGAGTCCAATACAATTTTTGAACCCCACATTTGTAATTTTCATAAGAATTCTGAACCTTCAAAATTAATTCTGGTGTTGTAAACAGAAATTCATCAAAAGTGACACCTCAGAAAAGCTAAAATATTGAATTTTTGGAACTTTTGATAGAGCACGTTTTTAAATATTAATTAAAGTAAATGTATATTTTGTAAAGATTCTTTTTAATAAAAAAATAAAATTTTGAAGAAGAACACAAAATCTTCTGAAAAATAATATCACATAAACTCATATTATTTTCTAATATATAACTATTTTATATAAAAATCAAATTCAATGATCTTAAAAGCGAAGGATAAACCTCAAAATTTACGAATATAATGAGTGGGAATATAATGCTTATCTATCATAAAACCATATGAAATATCAATTTTTGCTTTACGCCTAATTTTTGACGACAATTAGCAAAAAATGTTAAATGTTAACACTCAGTCCATTTGAATATGAAAAATAAAATTGACTTTGATTAAATGTTTTTATTTATCATGCAATTCTTCTTGCGACCAAAGATTTGAATAAAAGTTCAAAAAATAAGATAGCTTAAAAAATAATATACGGTAGTGTTTACTAATAGATGAATAGTATATAAATTCTATTAAAATGGATTTGATCCAAAAAAATATATAAAATTTGATCATAAAAAAATTTTTTAATTACTTCTTCATTTAAATTATAACAATTATTTTTGGTTTTATATTTTTTTGGATCAAATCCATTTTAATAGAATTTATATACTATTCATTCTATTAGTAAACACTACCGTATATTTTTTTTAAGCTATCTTATTTTTTTAAGTTTTATTCAAATCTTTGGTCGCAAGAAGAATTGCATGATAAATAAAAACATTTAATCAAAGTCAATTTTATTTTTCATATTCAAATGGACTGAGTGTTAAACATTTAACATTTTTTGCTAATTGTCGTCAAAAATTAGGCGTAAAGCAAAAATTGATATTTCATATGGTTTTATGATAGATAAGCATTATATTCCCACTCATTATATTCGTAAATTTTGAGGTTTATCCTTCGCTTTTAAGATCATTGAATTTGATTTTTATATAAAATAGTTATATATTAGAAAATAATATGAGTTTATGTGATATTATTTTTCAGAAGATTTTGTGTTCTTCTTCAAAATTTATTTTTTTATTAAAAAGAATCTTTACAAAAAATTACATTTACTTTAATTAATATTTAAAAACGTGCTCTATCAAAAGTTCCAAAAATTCAATATTTTAGCTTTTCTGAGGTGTCACTTTTGATGAATTTCTGTTTACAACATAAAAAGTCCTCATATACTAATCTACGCATAATAATGAAAGCAAGTTAAATAATATTAATGATTTCAGAATAAAAATTTTACAAGTCAAAAGATTGATGAGTAATTTTTCAGAATCCAATATTGTGGTAAGGCGAAATTGCTTATAGTTGTACTTGAATTTTACTTCACAAATTGCCTAAAGTCAAAATTTTCCGCAAAATTTCATTTTTTTATCATGCTTCCAAGCACATTCAAATGCCCAATTACAGGAAGAACGCACACCATTGTCTACAAAAACCAAAATAAGGATAAGCTAATTAAATATTGCAATGATTTGGCTGATTACATAAAAAATCATCCCAAACAGTACAAATATTTGGCTGTCGACACAGAAGGAAAGATCAATGTTGCAGACTTAAACGATGTCTTTGTTATTCAGTTTGCAGAATGCTTTGTAAATCACAATGATTTAATTAATTACCAAATTGACGATTCAACAGAAGAATCAATAGAACTTCAAGATGGATTTATCATTTTCGACCCAGATAATGATGTTAAGCGAGCACTAAGATTAATTTTCTCAAATTACTTTATTTACACGATATTTTTCGATATTACTCGAGATGTTCTCAGTCTCTATAAACTTGGAATACCTATCAACGGAAAACCAGACAAAACTGGCAAAGTTACCTTACATACCGTCATAGATACTCAATTCAGGCCAAATATTCCATATTTCCAGTCTAAATTTGGTCTTAAAGATGTGGTCAAGAGCATTAGCTTCCCATGCAAAGAATTAGAAGCAGCAAAAGACCAATTAGAAATCAAAGAGTCGGTGAACTTCTCCCAATTAATTTATGAGAACTTAGGCAAGCCAAATTCCGAAATCATTGCTACTTACGCTGGTTTTCTTCAATACATTTCGAATGATATTGCATTTACAGCTTTATCTCTTCTTGCGTACATCAAAACGTGCACATCCATTAAGACTATGCATTCTCTCCAAGCCAAGCAACTCACTCAGCTTTGGAAAGAAGAAAACACGATTGGAGTTGATTTCGGATCAATTCTTTTAGAAAAAGCCGTGAGATATTCCAAAGATACGCTACAGAATCCAACCAAGGATTTGTACAATACGTGCATCTGCGCAATGAAACTGATCAAATATTATGACGCAATCAAAGAATTTAAGAAAAGTTTTCCGTTTACTAAACAAGAATTAATTCAGTTTCAAGAAATAGCCACAGAATGGATAAATGGAGACAAATCCAGAAAATTCCCTGCAGCTTTCAATTTGAAAGCAGATATCACTGAGTTCCGCATCACAGGTAAGTTGAATGACGAGTTCTTCAGAATCTGGATCGAAATTAAAGATAAAGTTCCTCATAACTCTGGAAATACTTTAATTCACATCTGCAATAAGATACATCCTCAACTGTATGATTTCTTAAAAGCATGCGATGTATTGACTGACGAAGAAATGGCTGAAGCTTGTAACAATATTTATCAAGCTATTATAGATGGAAAAGTTGATGAATATCTTCAAAATTAAATAAAAACGTATTTATATATTATTTCAAATCATTAAATTCTTTAAGATTTGATGTACTTACATGGAAGAAAGAATATTCTTCAATGAAATATATTCCTATGGCAGAATACCAGATTCTAGTTTTAAGTATACCAAAAGTTTTGCAAATACAAAAAATTTGACATGGCGAGCGCATCATGAAATCATTATTTTCATGATGATATATTTGTATTGCACATGAATTTTGGAATATTAGAATGCTTTAATCCAATTATATATACATGCTACTCTATGAAATTTCCTTTGAAACTATTCAGACGAAGATAAAAAGGTACCTCAACATTACATCAATTTTTGGACTTATCAAAATTGAAAGGATGCACATGAAGTCTTAGTTCTTTTGCTATTTGCATGGCATGTATCTAAGCATTTTATTATATATAAAGAATAACTATAGCTACAGATTCTTTACCAATTTGTTGTTGCAATATAACAAATTAATTATTTGAGATTAATCTATACTGAGAGCGAAAATAATTTAGAGTATCAGTACTCCAACATTCTAAAAATGAACTATTCTTTGTTTATTTAGTTATTTCAAAGAAATAAAGAAACGACTTATGAATGATCCAATTGTATATTCTATGTTATTAAGTTTTAAAATTTAAAAACCATGTATTATATAACAAAATCATATAACATGCATATATATTCATAATTAAACACGTGAATAACATATTACAGGATATGCACCTTTATATGTTCATAGTCAGGTTGTTTTGTCTTTATCCAATGTTGAGATAATTACAAAATTTTTGTTCATTTTTAAGTCGACGAATATAGAATTAGAATAAACGATTTACGTGGTAGGTAAAAACGTAGTTTTTGGTATTTCTAATGATAATTCAAACAAATTTTTATTCATTTTATTGTAATACAGAATACTAGTCAGAATTCTTTGACTCCAAATATTTAGTGATGATTTTTGTAATGGAACTTTTTGGATCAATATTTTTGGCATATTCGAGTGGAGTTTTTCCAGATTTATCTGATATAGTGGCATCAGCACCATATTTAATTAGAACTTCAACAACTTCTTTAAAGTTAGCTTTAATTGCGTAAACCAAAGCAGATCTATTTTCATTGTCTGTTTTATTAACATCTGCATTATATTTTAGAAGTAATTCAATAGCATCAATATTACATGTGTTTGCAGCATACATTAATGCAGACATCCCTGAAGAATTCGTAATATTTGGATCTGCATTTTTATCTAACAATGTTTTTGTTAATTTTTCATCATATTTAAATAAAGAAATGATTAATGGAGGGTTTTCTTTCCCATATATTTTGTTGATTTGAGGATTTTTGTCTAAAAGATATTCAACAATTGGAAGGAAACCGAATTCAACAGCTGAGCTAAATGCGGTTCTTCCAGTACAATCTAAATACTCAATATCATTCACTTCGTTCAACATTTGATCGAAAATTAAAAAGTTATAAGAAGTTAATGAAACTAAAAACGAAAAATCTAAGTCATATTTAGATTTCAGATACTGCAAGCTGTCATTTCTGTACCACTTCACGCAATTCTCTATACAATGTCGATTTGGAGAAAAAGATTGTTCGCAAATATTTATTATTTCAAACTTATTGCCAATGAATGATTTTTCAAGAGTATGAATAGATAACTTTGCATTATTAAGATATATCAACTTAAAACACTTGACAGCTCCATATTTTGCGGCCATATCAATCAAAAATTCAAAATTAACTGATTGATTGAAGTTAAAATCATCTGCTCCAGAAAAATGCTGAAATTCTTGTATATCATCCCAAAATAAAGCATGAGCAATCGTATTTTTTGGAAAAATTTGATACATTTCGTCTGTTGTTTTCTTTTCATAATCATAGGAAAGTTCTTGTGTAATAATATTGCATTTGATAAGAATATTCTTCAATTCGAAACATGAAAAATTTAAATCATTGGAAATTTCATAAATTTCTTGAATTCTTTTAAATAAACTAACAAACTTTTCGAGGCACCATAGCCTGTGACTTGCAATTGTATTGATTATGTTGATAAGATAATTCATCTTTAAATTATATTTATCGAATCCGAGTTTGATTTGCGTAAGTATATCTTCTATTGATGTTTTATCTATCTCCCAAATTACATCGGTCAGTTGTAAATAGAAGTCAAAGACTTCTTGATGATTTTGAATTTCTGCCATTATTTGAAATAAAAAAATAATCAAATTTTGCTATTGGCGCCAATAATCGAGAAACATGAATACAAATATGTGGGGATGTTGCTAGAAAGAAACGTAATGAATCTAAGCTGAATCGCATTCATTTCAATTATTGCCTTTTACCTGGAAGATGAGAACATAAAAATTATATTAAAATTATTTTGACTGATTCACTAGAACTGGAAAATATCTTATCTCATTACTTTTGATTCATTTCAATCTGAGATCATTAGTTTATGTGTTAACCGTGAAGTTCTTAAATGCCCATACTAATTATCAGTGAATTAACAGAGTTATCCTTGTATCGTCAACTGTTTTTCAGTTTTCATTTTATTGCTTTTTTTAAAACACTAAACCACATACATATATATCTTAATACATCGAATGAATTGTCATATTCCTTTATTACTCCATAATTTCGATAAATAATGACGAAAGAATATTTAAATCTCAGAGAACGGAACTATCGAAATACTAAAATATAATACAACTACTAAACATGCATGAAAAATGAGAGATAAGTTAAACTAAAAAACAAAAAATTTACAAACAATATTATTAATTAAAAATCAGTAATACAGTCTCTAACCATAGCGACATCATCTTTCTTAAGCTTTTCCGCAACTCTTGCAAAGCGACTTGTTCCAAATTGTTTTATGACTTTGCATAATACAATTCTCTTTTGCCATGGGCCTCTCATAAGTCTCTCTATCATATCTGAATCCAATGATGAATCCGATTGAACAAGCAAAGCCCATAAAGAAGCACTTTCTTTTCTAATAACGGCGGTTTCATCTTCTGAGTAGATTTCAGCAAGTCTAACAAGTTGGGAACCAAGTTCAGGAACGAACTCTTCGCATTGCTTGAGTAAAGCATATCGTGTCCTCCAATCTTTTATGTTTGAAGGATCTAATAGCTCAACAAAATCGTTTTTGTTAGTAAAGTTAAGGGAAAAAGCATGAAGTCGCCATGCAAATGGGGTAAATGTAATCAGTTCTGAAGCAGCTCTGATATATAAAGCCTCTTCGGTATTGATATCAGCAACTTGAACTGCTTCGAGTAAAGCTACGGCTGCATCGTTTTTATCTATCTTTGTGGCCTCAAAAAACGAATCGATAATCTGGGCGAAAGAATTTTGAGAAATAACTTCAGGAAGGGAAGGAAACGCGTATCTAACAGTAGTAACACTTTCCAAGAGACCCTTGAACTCATCAATCATCCATGGAGCAACCTTTCCGATGATTGAAGCTGCAATTTGTTGGATACCGGGGTTAGAATCAGAAACAGCTTGACTAATAATGGTTCTAACCGTATCTTCATCGCACATGCAGTTTGGTAATATCATTAGGACTGATGCGCGTACAAGATTTGATTTATCTTTAGATAAAATTTTGAGAATTGGTTGGACTCGCCAGAAGTCTCTGACGATGGAAATGAGATGTACGGCCAAATTTCTTGTGCTTGGATCTTCGTCCAAGTAATATCTCATAACTAAGTCGGAAATAATATCATCTCGATAGTATCTGGGGATAACTGAAGCAATTTCAACGGCTAACTTAGTCAGATCTGATGTCTTCCTTGCGCCACCAAACTTTATTGTAGATTGTATCGCTGGAAAAATCTCGTTCTTGACAATATTTGAACCATCTTGAGGGAAATTATCAATAATTAAACGGAATAGAGTAGGTAATGTTTCGAATTTAGATTTTTTGTCTTGTTTAATAGCATTTTTAATCTCAGGAACTATGGTTTCTTCAACAAATTGAATATCAAAATCCTCGTTGCTGATAGCTTGTGACGAAAAGGGTGAGCATTGACGACACACAAACTCAGGATCTGTAAGGTTGCAGAGTCTGAGAGATGGAGAACTTAAGCAACTGGAATCAATCATCAATTTGATTAATTGGCGTATCGTTTTATGTAAACAATTCAAATATGAAATATTTTTTATAAGAACAGGATTCAAAATCACATGTTATGCATGATATTTTGATCCGAGTTTCAAAAAATTTATTGATTTTGAATTTTGCAAATTACCTCAGACTTTTCAGAGGATTGAGTGGCAACTCAATCCTCTGAAATAATCTGTGGTAATTTTTAGTCTCTACACTATTTCAATATAAGCTCCATTTTTAAACAGTTTTTAAAAATCGAGCATTGAAAAGTGTAATGAGACGTCAATTTTAACAATTCTTTCAAAATTAGATAGATTGAAAGAAATGAATGTAGAGCTGAAATAATTTATAGGAAAGAAAACAATAGTGAACTATTATAACAATTTTACGAATTATGAAAAATAAAAATATAATATGTAGTTCCATATACAGATTAAAAGTTTAAAATTTGGTAAGTTAGCCAAAATGCCTCAGAAAATATATTGCATTCAAATTGAATATTTAATTTTGAATGCATATATTATTGAACTCAAAATGAATTAATCTGATTGCATTTTGATTTTATTAATTATAAAATATTAACCGCATAATCATTTTATTTTTTGATATAAACGTAGATGGAAAAGTTATCGAAAAAAAATTTAATGATGTTGTATACTATTATTTTCGTATAAAAAATGATATGAATTTTTCATAAATTGAAAGAAGATTGTCAGGCATAGATATATCTTTAACGTGTTTGAAATTATCAATTTTCATTCCTGAATTGATATATCAACCTAGATCTTATTTTGTTGTAAACAGAAATTCATCAAAAGTGACACATCAGAAAAGCTAAAATATTGAATTTTTGGAACTTTTGATAGAGCACGTTTTTAAATATTAATTAAAGTAAATGTATATTTTGTAAAGATTCTTTTTAATAAAAAAAAATAAAATTTTGAAGAAGAACACAAAATCTTCTGAAAAATAATATCACATAAACTCATATTATTTTCTAATATATAACTATTTTCTATAAAAATCAAATTCAATGATCTTAAAAGCGAAGGATAAACCTCAAAATTTACGAATATAATGAGTGGGAATATAATGCTTATCTATCATAAAACCATATGAAATATCAATTTTTGCTTTACGCCTAATTTTTGACGACAATTAGCAAAAAATGTTAAATGTTAACACTCAGTCCATTTGAATATGAAAAATAAAATTGACTTTGATTAAATGTTTTTATTTATCATGCAATTCTTCTTGCGACCAAAGATTTGAATAAAAGTTCAAAAAATAAGATAGCTTAAAAAATAATATACGGTAGTGTTTACTAATAGATGAATAGTATATAAATTCTATTAAAATGGATTTGATCAAAAAAAATATAAAACCAAAAATAATTGTTATAATTTAAATGAAGAAGTAATTTAAAACTAGGGCTGTACAAGATTTAAAAAAACATTGCCGGGTTACCGTAGAGGCCTAAAAAAATCGCGCCTCGGCGGCAAGCCGCCTCGGCATTAAGAATGCGCATCTAAATTTTTATATGTCCTTCTTTCTTTTATTTTTCCCTTCCCTTTCTTTTCTTTTTCTTTTTTTTCCCTCCTCTTGCTCTCATTTACCTTTTTTTTCCTTTTCTCATCATTTTTCAAAATTTTAAATTTTTATCAAAAATCTTGCCTATAAAAGCAGACTATGGAACCTTTTAATGCCTCTTAATCAATATTATACAGCATAAAGCATATTAAATGAAAGTAATTACGTATAAATTTATTTTATTATCTTATTTATTAATTCTTTAGCATGTATTGTTTAATATTAACTTTTCTGTACATTAAATATGATATCTCCAAAGTATGAATGCCTTGTAACGAAACGAAAACTTAATTTTATGTTGAATATTTGTCACAAACATTAGATTATTAAAATATATGTTGGATATCCCTTAGTATGAGACTTCATGACTCTTGTAGTCTAACGTGAGCTTTGGATTGCAAGCTCTGTGGTTAACGAACATAAATTAATTGTAAAGTTTTCAAAATTTTTCATCGTTTCTATCAGCATCTATTTTTCCTTTAAAATAATATATTTGTATGAATACAATATTTAGTAATTTTTTTATTTCCCATAATTTCATTCAAAATTTCAGAAAAAATTAATTTCTATTCAATATTATTTCAGCTTCAAAACACTTCATTCTTATAGATGTTGATTCACTAAAGTGTGATACTCAATGTCTTATTTCAATGAAAATTGTTCTGCAAATTTATTTCACTTTTGACCTCACTTTTTCCGTAATTCAATTTTTTACTTTTAATATTTTAGATCTTCATAATATCATTTGAAAAATTAACCATATAAAAAAATCAAGTTAACAATTCACTTTTTCCGTAATTCAAAAATCAAAAATATAAATAATATATCTTTTTATCAAATATTATTATTATATTCTATGAAAAATGAGGTCCGGAAATTTTGCGGATTCCCGTAACTCAATTTTACGGAAAAAGTGCAGTAAACTATTCAAAATACGGGAAAATTGGTGTAAACTAATGATTTTACGGTAAAATCACGGAAAGTCCCGGAAGAATATATGTGCCTATATGAAATTATACAAAAATGAATCAAACGCATTTTAAAAGATTGTTCTTGTATTATAAATGCTATTCGCAGATTTATTAGTTGAAGAAAATTACCAAATTTTTGCCGATTTACAAAAAATGATTTACAAAGCATATTTTTATAAGGCTTTAAAAATCTTTAAAATGTGACCGGTGACGGAAATCCATGGTAACCAACCGCGGTTCCCGTTTGGAATGCCATATTTAAAACGATTTTATTTATGATCAAATTTTATATATTTTTTTGTTTTCTGTTTACAACAAAAGATCACAAATTGAATGATTGAAAGAACAGAAAAAGTCATTCTTTTCAATTTCGAATATGTTTCATTGTATTTATAATTATAGACCGAAAAAAAAAAAAAAGGTATTGGGGCTTCCAGGGGCTGCGCCCCTTCTAGCCCCGAAGATGTTTAGTATAAAATGAAGTTTTTATTCGGAAAATTGTTAGTCTTCTGGTGTGAATTCGGAGGACTCTTCTTGGATAGAGTCTTGTATTTCCTCCTCTTCTTCTTCCTCCATTGCTTCTGGGAAGAAGCCTTCTTCTGGGTCGAAAACATTATATAATGTGTAATTGAATGACACATTATATCTTTCTTTGAGTTCGCTCCTGACAAAGAACTTAGTTCCAGGAATACAGAAGACTTCTGTGCGTTGGAAAAGCTGATGTCCTGGAACAAATTTGGCAATTAGAGACTTCTTTTTTCCGAATTGTTCAGGAGTTTTCATGACGACAGTAACAACATCTCCATCTGCGAGGTCTTGTTGTTGTTCGGAAAGGTAAAGAGCAATGATATGAATGGTTGCTGCGTTGAATTCGAGAAAGTCGAATTCAAATTGTGTTGTCGTATAGCATTCAAACCATTTTGTACAGTTGTCTCCGAACTCGTCAATGTATTCATCTTGGTCATATCCGTAACTAAAGACTTGGAATTCGGCAATTCTCTTGTCGAATGACCGTTGCATGTAACGAGGAAGATTTTGACGAACTTGGTATAAAGTTCTCAACATTATAAGCTTAGTAAATGTTGGAAAATACTGAACTAAGACATCGCTAAGCTCAATTGGACTTGGAATTGTCTTAGTAAGTTCAATTGAACTAGCAATTGCTTTGTTCAGAACTTCACAGAACTGAGTATTGTATATAGCGTCTGGTTGTGTGTTTTCTTCGGCGTCTTTGAGATATTTAGAGCAAATTTGTTGAAGAATTTCTCTTAATTCGCTGTTAGACTTTTTGGTGGTTATTCTAACAGCTGTGCCAGTTCTTGGAGGTTGTGGGGCTTTGGCTTTGGTTAGCGGTTGAGAATTGTTAATGTTGGCTTCCATTAGACAAAAATGAACTGTTTTTTTCGGACTACTCATAGAAAAGTTTAAAATAAACCGTTTTCGTCAACGGTAACCCCCTCTATTTTTTTATTTTATTTAATAGTTACCGTTGGCAAACCGTTCCATCTCAAATATTGAATGAACTATAAACGTTTTTTGTTTTCTATACATACTTTTTTGTCCAACGGTAAAACTTTTTACACAACGGTTTTTGAGAGTCGTCGCTGTTGACTTTTTTGTAGAACACTCAAAATAGTATAACTTTGTCCGGACAAGTAAGGGTCTATCGTCGCTACAGGAAAAGTTACAGGCGTTCCAAGGAAGTATACTTTGAGAAGCCTTTCCCCCTTATAGAATGAGATAGGACGGTTATTTTACAAAACTGACAACACGTTGACCGAGTAGTTTTTTGAGCTGAACAAAAAGTGTCATATAAACATCTGTCAAAAACCGCTTTTTAACTTCACTTAAAATGCCACGTAAGCTACGTAAGAATATACGTAAGAGGAAGAGAGCATTGAAACATCCAATAGTAAAACTGACACCACAACAACAGTTGCAACAACAAATGCTGAATGACCCCACTATGTTGCAACAAATGTCAAGCAATCCTATGCTTTTAAACCGAGTTGTTGGTGCACAGAGTGGAGGTTTAAGAGCGGCACTTTTAGCGAAAATGGCAGGCTATGGTGGAGCTGCAGACGGAACAGCATATAACCCTCAAAGTCAAATGAATTTGAGTTCACTCAAAAATCAAATAACAGATGTCAAAAAGTCAAACATAGACATACAGAAGCAAATAAGTGAAAACGAAAAGAAACTAGAATATGACAGACACACAAAGAAACTCAATGAGTTAAACGTAGAGAAAAAGAAGAAAGAAGAACAACTGAAAGAACTAAGTACAGAGGAATATGCGAAAAAAGTGTCAGAAAAAGCAGCAGAAGTAGCAAAAATGGAACAAGATGTCATAAATTTGAAAAACCATACTACTCAATATAAAGTACTGAAAGATGAAGAAATAAAACAAAAAGCCCTGAAGACATATATGGATAGCGATGAGTATAAAAAAGAAGTTGAAGCAAATGTAAAGGCAGAAAAACTTTTACAGTTGCAAAACCAAACCGTACAGTATGAAAACTTAGCACAAGAAAGTAAAAATAACGACGCAGCCATGCAAAAGGCAATGAAAAGCGCAGAATATATAAAAGCTAATAATGACTGGTTAGATGCCCAAGCCAACGCTAAAGCAGCCCAACTCATAGGGTCAATAAGGACAAAAATACAAGCGGATGAAGACAGTTCAAATGAAGCTTTAACAAATGCTGACTTTAAGAACGCCTTCGAAGCTCTTCATAGTAAGGTGAAACAAGTGAACGACTTCTCATCTGGAAAGAAACTGAAGTCTGAAGGTTTCGACAAAGAGTTAAAAGAAGTAGCACAAAATATGACGAAAATAACAGATGCAGCAACGAGACAGGCAGTTCAAAGTGCCTATGACGCCGTTAGAGCAACTGTTGTGAAAAGTCAAGAAAAAGAGTTACTACAGACCAAAACAGACCTAGTAAATGCTTTCTTAAGAACGAAAAGTCAGGTAGGACATTACGCTGCAAATGGAACATATGTGCCAGCTGGTGGAACTTATATACCACCAAACCCTCCAAGAGAAGCACCTGCACCAGGACTACCTAAAACATTTACATCGTCACATGGACACAGACACAGGCATGCACAACAACAACAACAACAACCAACACAACAACCAACAGTTCAAAATCCAGCACAACCAACAGTTCAAAATCCAGCACAACCAACAGTTCAAAATCCAGCACAACCAACAGTTCAAAACCCTGCACAACAACAACCACAAACAGAGCAAGGACATAAAAGAAGTAGAGAACAAGGAAACCAAGAATTCTTAAAAATGCTTAAAGAAGAGTGTGGTTTCCCAGATAGTATTGACTTTAGTGACAGATATAAAGAAGCTATTGGAAAGTTCAAGGGAGGAAATACTGACCCGAACCTATTTAGCTTTATGGCTCAGCACCAAAACGGATATAATCTCAAACCTGGAAAATACAAGCTCGCTAAGGGATATGATTTAATAGCATATCATCCAAATGACATGGATGAATTTACTCCGAGATATTTGATGTCAGAGCTAAATGACAATTCAACTTTCGTCATGAAACGCGTAAAAAATAGAGACGGAACGAAAGAACAAAAGCTTATGAATGCGGATGACGTAGATAGGGAAATTGTTAAAAACGGTCTCGGAATATATGAAATGCCAGCAGATGAGGTACAAGAAACTCCACAGGAAGAAATAGTTCAGATACAACCAGACATGGAAGAAATAGTTCAGCAACAACAGCTAGAAGAGCCTGAAGGAAACGAACAAGTCACTCCTTTGGAAACTAACTTCACAGAACTAGATGAAGATTTGGAACAGCCGAAAAATCTTGACCCTCAACAAGAGTATGCGGAGAATATGGAATATTTCCAAGAGTCTAAAAAAAATTCGGCTGACATAGTAGAAGAATATCGAAAAATGTTTGCCGACATACAAAAGACTCCAACACCAGATGAAAATATTCAGCATAGAATGGAAGAACTGAAAAAAAATGTACACAAATACAACAACCCTTTTTACTTACGAGCATTTAACGTTCAATCTTCGGATGAACTCGGTGAAGATAAAAGGTTAAATTTCAAGAAAACATATAGAAATGAAACATTGTTTAAAGTTCATTCAGAACCTAGCCAAGATGGAAACAAACCTACTTTTGTTTCTGCAGACGATGGAACTACAATGAGATGGGGTCATAAAGCTAACCCGGATAGGTGGTTCATAAACTTACAACCACAATTCCAAGAAGTTGTAGACGCAATGGAAGTCAATGGTGAACAAGATATAGCTGGTATTTTAAGCGCGGCTTTAATGCCATTGAAAGATATGAAACATGCAGATATTTTGGACCAGTATGAAATGAACATGGCTGATGGAAATATAACACCTGACGTTCTAGAACATTTATCTCAAAGAACTACACAGAACCATAGAGATGGTATATTTGGTGAAGAGTTTAGAAAGAAAGTTAGGGAGGGAGAAGGAAGAGAACCTATTGTACATGACCTTGCAAACGAAAGTTTACAAAATGTCATAAAAACTTACTTTGCAGACAATGAACTGAGAAGGGATGAATATTTAAGAAAACTCAAATGGACAGTACCAAATGAAATGTTAGTATTGAAAAACATGTTCCTTGACAAAATAAAACCAACTACAGAAATAAACGACGCAAGACTGAAAGATTGGGTAAAAGCTTTCCCATTCACAAAAGATATTGTTGGTAACATGGAAAGAAAACCAGAATGGCTACAAAAACATATATTTGGAAACGAGCTTATTCCATATGGACAGGCACTGTTTGAAGAGCTTGAACCGGAAACTCAGGAAAGAGTCATGCAAACAATACGCGAAGACTCAAATACAGACTATGACAAACTCTTTCTAGGATATAGGTTACCTGAGATGGGCGACCAGAGCCAAAAGGCAAAAAGGACATGGGAAATTTGCAACATACTAGATGAACATAATGCAAAGATGCAACAACTTGAAGCAGAGGGCAAGTTACCAAAGCGACACCAAAGAAGAAGAGTAGAACAAAGTGAAAGTAGTGAAGAAGTAACTTCATCTAGTGAAAGTAGTGGCAATGAAGGAAAAAGAAGAGTTAAAAACTCAGTCAGGAAGAAAGTAAAGCTTGGTCCACGTGGGTTCTATTATGACATATAAACCCAACTATTCTATATTTTTACCCATATGAAATGTACGCCGCTCAGAATATAACGCCAACAGTTTTGGATGCTATGAATGGAAATGTTTCCGAATGGTATAACGAATGCGACAATGCCATTAGAAGGTCAGAAATAGTTCCTGGAACTTACGAATATACAACTGCTGTTTCTTATGGAAACGTAGGTGAGTTTGGAGAAGGTTCTTCAACAACAGTAGATATTGCTTGCGACAGGTTTCATATAATTTCTATTGACAACTCTTTCTTATACGTGGAACAAGACATTGAAATAAAACCTTCTGCCAAGTTGTCTGACAAGAAAGGTTGCAATGGAATTTTCTATGTCGGATACCAATATGCTCCAGAAGTTTTCATGGGATATAAGATATATTCTAACTCTGACTTAGTTCAAACAGTAACATGGGCAAACTATGAATGGTTCGCTTTGAGAAACTCAGTACAACCACAAGCTAGAGAACAAACAGACCAGTATGCAACTATTGAGAAAATAAGAAGACTTGACCCTAACGTTCCAGGAGTTTATGTTAACCTTTCTGGTTCAGATGGAAATGCTGTCACTAAAGTAAAACTGAAACTTAGAGTTCCTTTGTCATCTTTCCTCATCTTCAGGTTTTTAAGATACTTGCCAAACTGGGCAGGAAAAATTTCTATTGAACTTACTCCAAGCAAAAATAACTTAGTCATTGCACCAACACAAGACCCATTCACTCTTACAGAAGTAGTGGGAACAAATAAAATGTCATTCGCCGACTTTTGCAAAGACAAAGTTGACTTAGACTTTGGTTTCTCAAACCTCAACACTGAAGTAAACTACTACTTCAATGCTGCTGGAACTGCTTGGGACCCAGTTAAGTTCACATGCGAAAAATTTGAATGCAAGAGAATAGAAAGCAGACTTGCAGTCTATATGTTGGACCCAGATATTTCAAATGCTTTAGCTGCCAAATATATTGCAGTTCCACTTATGTTCCCTATACACCAAATATCTGTCAAAGACTTTGCAGGTGAAGTTGGAAACCAAAGTGCTGACCCAGGTGCAAGAACAGATATTGCCTTAACAACTGCAATGAAACATGCAGATACTATGTTTGTACTGTTCAGACGAACTATAAATGACTATTCTTGTTTCTACAACCCCGGTATTAAATATCATATAAACATAGATGGCAAATATTATCCAAGAGAAGAATATTCTACAGTTGAGGATATGAGGTCATACAACTTGACATTAGATGCTATGAACTTTAACAACAACTTCACAACAACCATTAACCCTGAAATGCAAAGTTCTATTATGCCATATGTGAAAGTATGGACTCATACAGGAGGTCAAAAAACTCAATATACAAATGGAGACCGTTCAAACTTTGGCTTGGCATTCCATTTGCTGACTCAGAAGATTTATGGGTGGTATTTCAACTGTTGGTACAGTTCAAATACAATATACTGGTGACAGAGACGGTCCAGATGAATTGAAAGCAAAGAAGTTTACAAAACCAATAGCACTTTTCACGGAAGATGCTCTTTTGAAGATTCGTTCGATGAAACCTGCTGGGGCTCCTCAGATTGGCATAACGACAGCTTCCATCGAGCAGATTTTGGCAGCAGGTCAGTAAGTTGTTCTTGAACTGACTTCTCTCCGTCAAATATTGACAGTACGCCAGTTTTGACATAAAATTGTATTAAAACTTACCTTTAGAAATATCTGTAAGTTTTGTTGTTATATTTTTGTCAACGTCAAGAACTTTCACCATTTCAGTTATACCAACTTTCTTTGCTTTATGAAAATATTTTGGTTCAGCAAAGACTGCTATTCTATAACATTTACCATTGTTTGTATAAAGAACTATTCTGTCAATGTATTTGTATTGTTTGTGTGTGTAAACTTTGTTCTGCTTCAATTCGAAGAGATACTCGAATACGTCCATCTTTTTATTCTAAGTAAAATGTCATTCCGAAAAATAGAAGCGTAAGTGTTTCAAAAGGTTTAATGGCGGTGGCAGATGTGAAGTTAAATTCACCAACTCAAACAAACAGTCAAAGTGTTGTTGTCAATGTCAAAGAAAGAGATGTTGAAGTGGGGAAACCATACGAAGACGAAGATGGTATAACAATAGTTCCTGTAAAGAACAACCAACATATCCTGAAGTTAGCAGAGACTTAAGTTCTGTTGCAGATATTCGAAATGACTACATGCAACTGAAAGACAAACTTAAAACTCAGGAGAAGATTTGTCAAGCTTTAGGTATAATGTTAAACTTGGTCGAACACAACCCTGTAAAAGTGAACTCATATGTCATTGCACCTCATGAAGTTTTGAAAGAACTATTGAAACTTTTGACAGAGGCAGACGATATAAACATCAAAGAAATAGAACCCGACGTTAGTTGCTGTGGTGTTTCATATAATGTCATTGACAAGATATACGTTATGAAAGGAGGTGAAACGTTGAACTTAAAATATAGTTTCCCAGACGTTATAAAAATATTTGACGACCACAACATTTCATTAAAATTTATTTGCTAAGTAAATGGCAGAAGACACAATGGTTTATACTATTACGACTAAAAACCCTGAGTCATATAATTCTATAACAACAAACTTACAAAGTCCTCAAGGACGATATTGTAAACTAACCTTAAACACAATGACGACTAAAGCTTGTTTTGCTCTTTTGACACCAGAAGATTTTATTGTTGTGAATGGTAAAAAATACTCCTTTGAAGATACTTACTCAGATATACCACCAACAGGTTTTGTTGACTTATTTAATACTTTAAGGACGGATGTAACATGTGCTGCAACTAGAGCAGGTTTCATTATGTTTGGATGTCCGACTGAGTTTACTATAAACAATATGAGCTATAATACAAAACTTATATCTGGTTTTTACTACCAACAGTTTCCTATAACAGGAAAAGGTGTCATACAAGGAATGTCTGTTCCATTGACTTTAAGTACACCTATTTTATATATTGTTTCAAACTTAGGTTCAAAGTGTTATTCGAATGTCGACAGAAACTACTATGACCAAAAGATACTTATGCGTATAAATAACACATTCTCTGCTGGTTTGCCTATTGTTCATTCGAATGCAGAGTTTTCAACCTTAGTGAACTCAAACACTTTGGCAAGTATAACGTTAACATTAGTTGACGCAAACTTTGTTCCTGTAAAACTTTTATGTCCTATGTATTTGTCAATGACGGCAGAAAGTTTCGAATTGGAAGATGCAACTGGTGAAAGTATTGTATTACAAGAACAACTTCAACAACAAATAGCTCAAGAACAACAAATGCAACAAATGCAACAACAAAGTCAAGAATAAAACAATATATTTTTTATTTTTATAAAAATGTACAGAATAGATGTTTCAGATTTTTATGACTTCCAAGCATTCAGAAATATGTGTCCATTTCGAGACTATAACAAAGCAGTCGAGAATTTGAAACGTTTAGTCATTTATGTCGACTCTGCCCCAGAATGTTATGTTATGAAAGAATGGGATGTTGTCTTTAACAAACCTAAAGCGACAATAGTTTCAGAACAAGAATGTAGACAGAAACTTAAGAAAATAAAAGTCGTACAAGTTGGCATGAAGATGTTAGATGCTTGGGATATCTTATTGTCAAAGTTAGAAGATTTTTCAGTTCGAGGTATAAAGTTTTATACACCTTCTCCAAACTTCTATTCTATCTTCACTGGATATAAATATGAACAAGTAGAATGGAAAGAAAATGTTATAGAAGCTTGGTTAGACCATGTCAAAGAAATTATATGCAATGGAAACGAAAAGGTTTATGAGTATATCTTATGTTGGTTTGCAAACATCTTACAACATCCAAGTGCTAAAAATGAAACTGCTCTCATTATAATTGGAAAACAAGGAACAGGTAAGAACACGTTCTTTACAGATATCTTATGCAAACTGTTAGAGGGCTATTCGAACCCGAATATGACAAACTTAGAAAACATCTGCGGTAAATTTAACTCTTCAATAGAGAATATGAAACTTATAGTTTGCAATGAACTTCAAAGTATAGATACAACAAAAGTTTTGAACTCAGATGCTTTGAAGAGTCTTATAACAGACAAAGTTGGAGTTGTTGAAAGAAAATATAAAGACCAAAGAGTTTGTGAAAATGTTGCAAACTTCATTATGGTTTCAAACAATGCTGTTCCGATGAAGTTAGAAAGTTCTGACAGAAGATATGTAGTTGTCAGAACGTCAGAAGCTCATATGCAAGATACAGAATATTTTGACGACTTAGCAGAAACTTTGACATCTGACTTTTACAACCACTTGTTCTCATATTTCATGACATTAGATATTTCTAAGTTCAATCCAAGACAAATTCCACATACCGAAGAGAGACAAACATTGTTAGAAGCAAACAAGAGTGTATATGAACTGTTCATAGATGAAACTGACTTTGTGTCATTAGATGAAAGGTCATTGTACGATTCGTATAAACAATATTGTCAAGAATATGGTTATATGACAGCGTCTAAACGAACATTCTTGGCAAATGTCAAAAGTCTTTTAGACGTACAGAATGGTGTATATACAAAGAAAAATTTTTCTGAGTAAATTTTAAAAAAAAATATTTTTTTATCCGATAGAAAAGATGACAGAAAAATTAACTTTTTACATAGCGCCAAACCCTTCTTGCCCACATCTTTTTAAGCCACAATATATAGACATAGAACTAAATAGAGAAAGCGAAATTCTACAAACAGAAGAAACATATAGAGACCTAGATAACGAAAATGGATATGCGCTATTCTGGTTAGATTGTCCTTATGAAATGTATGAAAAAAAGGCTTTATATGAAGAATATAGAAAATATTGTTATGAAAACGATATAAGACCAAGCTCTAGAGAAAAATTCTATGCTGGTATAAAACATCTTTTCAAAGTTCAGAATGGCAAATATAGAAAGAAATAATTTTTCTGAGTAAATTTAAAAAAAAATATTTTTTTATCCGATAGAAAAGATGACGAAATTCATCTCAGTAAACAAGTACATGTCAGGACTTAAAGAAGAACTAGACCCATTCACATATTTGAATGTTTACTTCTACCATTTTGAAAAGTCTACATTTGACAAAGTTTGGAACATCGAACCAGTTAAGTTTGCTATTGTGACTAAAAATGGTGCGAAATTTGAAGACTTAGACATAGAAGGTTTGTTAACAGTCAAAGAAAATTTTGACAGAAAGTTCTCAAACCTTAAAGAAGGCAAAGCATACAAACTTGTTATACCTTATGAACCAAAGAAAGCAGACGACTATGAATATTATGAGTCTAAAGTTGTAGAAGTTCAAGGTAAATTGGGTAAAAAGATTTTAGAGTCTAAGCCAGTGTTTGCTCCTAAAGAGGAAGAGAACATTGACATTGACCCAGAAATGTTCTAAAAATAAAATTTTATTTTTACATGTCATATCTCACCTTCTCTGGAACTGGTTCAGGTTCTTTCTTCTCTTCTACTTTTTTCTCTTTCTTTCCTTTCTTCTTCTTTTCTGGTGGAGTTATGTCAAATTTCTCAGAACCATATTTTTGTAAAAGTTCTTTGTCCTTTAATAGCTCTTCTATTCTGTTTTCTATTTCATCTTCAAGAACAGCGCATGTGTCTTCTTTGCATTCTAAGAATTTTTGTTGGACTTCATCTTTCCAAGAGGCGTCATCTCTGTCAACAAGTCTGTCATTGACAAATTTTAAGACTTCTCTGCTTAATGTTTTATGGTTCTTGTCATATTCCCAGAAACAGAACTTTAGAACAAATTCACCTTTCTTGTTTACACTATGTAAGATTTTATGGTCGACAGATGTTTTGCTGTCAAAAAGTTTGTCTCGAATATAGATAGCGAAATCGCTAGACATTTTCTAAAAGATAAAAATTTTAATTTTTCTAAAAATATGTTAGAAAAAAAGTTTGCTGACATTGACAAGAAATTTGAGAATGTTTTAAACAAGAACAAGAGGAAGTTAGAAAATGCTCAGATAAAGCCTATACATGACAAGTTCTTATTTGCTCAGAATGGTATAACAGGTCTAATTGCACCGCCTGGGTCGGGTAAGACTTTCACTTATCTTAAAATGGCTGCACAACAACAAGAACTAGATGAGAAGAACCCATTCTATGAGTTAGTTGTTATTTGTAGTACTTCTGGTCAATTTGACCAAACCGTCAATTCGTTCAAAGATATTATAAAGAAGTCTAAGTTAGTATGTATAAAGGATACTGAGTTGTTGGATTGGATAAAGAAGTACCAAAGAAGAGTTTTGAAGTACAATGCTATAAATGAGTATATAAATTCTAAGTTTAAAGACCCAAATGAGGAAATGCAGAGAATATTAGAGAAGAAACACTTCAGAAACAAACAGAAAGAGATAGAATACATTTCGAAGAAATTGCAATCTTACGATTGGAAGACTTACCCTCACAGATGTCTTCTTATCTTAGATGACTTTGCTTCTCATCCTTTGTTAAAGAACAGAGAACAAGACATGTGTCGAATTCTTAAGAAGCTCAGACACTTTAACATCTCAGTTGTCATTTGTGTACAGACAGCAAAGAGTTTAAGTAAGGATGTAAAGAGAATACTTACTGACATTGTACTTTTCCCAGGATTGTCCGAAGACGATTTCATGGAACTTATGAAAGAGTCCATGGCAGGTAAGTTTGACAGACATGAACTATGGGAGAAGTATAAAGTCATACAAGACCCTCATACTTCTTTCAGAATTCATATCTACGCAAACAAAGTTCAAATTGTAAAAAGTCAAGCTTGAAAAATAAAGAGTGCAATTTACTCTACTTGTTTGAAGTTGTCAAAATACTCTGTTATTTTTCACTGTTTTCATAGAGTTTTGGCGACTGGGGTTTCTTCCCTACTCGCTGTTCTTCATGATTTTCATACGGAATCTCTATCCTCGGTTTTTCGAGGATAGCAATCTTATGAGGAAATTCATGAAATTTGGTCATTTTTCAGCAAAAATAATGTTTATGTTAGAATGTTAGATCTAACATGTTTTCTAACACGTTTTCTAACATGGTCTAAAACACACAAAACTCATGAAATTTCATACGGAATTCAGTAAAAATAATGTTTATGTTAGCATGTTAGATCTAACATGTTTTCTAACACGTTTTCTAACATAACTATTTACAAGCGTTTTACATGGTATATGTTGCGATGGTTCATGACTCTAAACAATTTTGTAGCTTCTATTTCTTCTGTCAGTACATCGAATGTTTTAACGATACCGAAAGTTTCTTTATACTTCTTCTTGACATCAGATAGAAGGAAATCTTCTGCAGTTGGATAGTTTTTGTTCAGAAATGCTAACATGTCCATTTTATCTTCTGCTGGCTTTTCTGCTTCTTTCTTTAAGTCTGCATAGTCGTTTCTCATACGTTCTATCTCTTTGACGGAGTAGTTATATTTCCTCATTGCTGCTTTACATTTAGAACATTGCGGGTTCATTTTTGCGTTATATTCTGAAACCTTACCTGCTAAAACAACTAAGGCGTCAATGGTTTTCTTTAACTCAAACATAGCGGGTCTTATTTGTTCGTTCCATACTTTGCCTCTTCTATCTTTATCTCTTATCTGCCATACACATTCAGCAACTAACGAAACAAAGTTGTCGTAGGTCTTAAACTCCCCAGATTTATATATGTCAGAGATGTTCTTATATACCATGTCGCAATCTTTGTCCATAACCTTATGGTTGCAATGAAATCCTAGAAACTCATAGTTTACCTTTCGTATGAACTTCTTTATTTCTACTGAGTCAGTTGCTTTGACTTCTATTTCGTCAAATTCGGGAATAGTGAGTTTTTGCTGCTGAATTTCAGGCAATTTGGGTAAATGGTCGATGAGGTCCTGCATTTCATAAAGATACTGTTCATTTGTTTCATCTTTCGCACTACAGTCTAAATTATTTGTTAAAAGTTCTTGCTTTATCTTCTGGATTTTTGTTTCAAAAGTATATGAAGAAGGAATGAAGCTTTTCATCTCTACTAACATTGAAGTTGGGTTCATAACTAAAGAGTTTGGTGCTGTTGTTGCTAACATGTTCTTACAATAAAAATAAAAAATATTTTTTTTAAAAAACTAACTTTATTTTTTATTTCGGGAAAATTCATGAGTTTTGGTTGAAAAATACGGTGGAGCCAAAAGTGGCTCGACCTCAAAACAAGCATTTTGTGAAGAATATACCAACCGCCGGAATTCCGACGGTTGCTTTTTATACAAAATTCAACGGGTGACAAAACATATACGATGAAACCTTGACAAAACATGTACGATGAAACCTTGACAAAACATGTACGATGAAACCTTGACAAAAACATATACGAAGAAGAAGTCATGAAAATTCAAGAGGGTAGAAAACAGGTTAGAAAACAGGTTAGATCTAACCTTCTACCCTAAAATATATTTTTGTCTGATTTACGCTCATTGACGATGAAGAAGTCATGAAATTTCAAGAGTTTTCTACGATGTTAGAAAACGTGTTAGAAAACGTGTTAGATCTAACATTCTAACATAAACTTTATTTTTGGTGTAAATTTCATGAGTTTTCTACGATGTTAGAAAACGTGTTAGAAAACGTGTTAGATCTAACATTCTAACATAAACTTTATTTTTTGCCGAATTCAATAAAAATAAATGGTTCATTTACTCACAATATTTTTGTACAAAACGACCCCAAACTTTTAACTTCTTTTCTGCAGCTTCAAATGCTATCTTAGCGAGTTCATATTCTCTAAATTCTCTCTTTAAATCTTCTTGTTCCCATTGGTCTAGTTCGTATGGCGAGTCTCTATAACCAGAACATATGTTATGTTCATGTTCTATTTGTTTAAGCACATTTTTTCTAACTTCTTGTTCGAACAAAGGTTTTGCATTCTCTACTGTATCTTCAAGTTCTTCTTCATCTAATTTCTCATGAACTTTCTTGTCTATGGAGTCCAGAATTTTTCCAACTGCTATACAATATTTTGGAGAAGCCCACATTGCTATATAGTTTACGAGTCTTGGGTCTACATACGTTCCTCTAACCTGTTTGATTTCATCAGGAATTCCTGCATGAACTGTGTATAAAAAGCAACCCGCCGTTTTCCGCGGGTTGGTATATTCTTCACAAAATGTTTGTTTTGAGGTCGAGCCACTTTTGGCTCCACCGTATTCTTTCAACCAAAATATATTTTTGCTGAAAAATGACCAAATTTCATGAAAATTCAAGAGGGTAGAAAACAGGTTAGAAAACAGGTTAGATCTAACCTTCTACCCTAAAAGTATTTTTACTGAATTTAGCAACAACTTTCTCTCAATTGGAGCTGTGGCATACTCTTTGCGTAAGCGGTTCAGACCTTCTTCGAACTCTTGGTCTCTCTTCGATTTGGATTGAGGTGGAAATTGGTAGTAATTTGGATTGAGATTGGACTTGCTGGAACTGAGGTGCAGGGGCTGGTGCTTTAGGTTCCTCTGGTTTGGGAATGGGCTCGGTTGGTGGGACGTCGGACATTCGTTTGTGGCTTAACCGTCGGACCACAACGATAAAAATCTCTGCTCCTAGCAGTACTGCTACTGACAGTAGCAGTACTTTTACTGACAGTAGCAGTACTTTTTCTGACAGTAGCAGTACTTTTACTGACAGTAGCAGTACTTTTTCTGACAGTAGCAGTACTTTTACTGACAGTAGCAGTACTTTTACTGACAGTAGCAGTACTTTATCGTCGAAAACCCTCTCAAATTTTCCTTTTTACTGCAACTAGCAGTACTTTTACTGTCAGTAGCAGTACTTTTACTGACAGTAGCAGTACTTTTTCTGACAGTAGCAGTACTTTTTCTGACAGTAGCAGTACTTTTTCTGACAGTAGCAGTACTTTTACTGACAGTAGCAATGGTCGAGGTCGAACCTACCGACGAGGCAATTTACCTAATTGAAATTAACGAGCTTGTTAAAGACTACTTGCGCAAGGTCATGAAGCCCAAGGTCAAGTTCACCACTATTTCTGGAAGGGCTGCCTTGACTCTCGAGATTTCGACTGGAATTCCAATTGAGGTACCAGAAAACACTCCTGTAGACGACATAAAGCAAGCAAAGAAGGAAGCTCTTGTTAAGTTCCTAAACAAACGTCCTTGGATACAACTTCCAAACAGAGAGAGTCCAATTCCACGAATTATACAAATTCTCAAGGGTCTCCTTCACTTCTCGGGTCAACCATTCTACATAACTACAGAAGGCGGCATCCAACCAGTTCAGTAAACCTTAACGTTTAACTCACTTTTTTATGTTTTTTGTGAAAGTGTCAAAAATAAATTGTTTTCATGAAAATTCAAGAGGGTAGAAAAGAGGTGAAAAAACGGGTGACATCTCACCTCTTCACCTAAACTTTATTTTTATTGAATTTAGCAACAAAATGAACGAGGTCAGGATGTATGTTGCTGAATTCATTCATAACACCCTTTGTAAGCTCATAAAATGTTTGTTTTGAGGTCGAGCTACTTTTGTTCTTTGTTTTTCAACCTGAAGCATTTAATATATGTAAAAATATATGGTTTTAAAAATGTTTTAAAATGGTATGCCATATAGCTTCTTGAATTTGTTAAGATATAGTCTAACGTATTTTCCATCTGTATCTCTAGCGTTTACATAAGCATAGCCCGCCTTAGTAAAACATACTTGTAATTTCCTATAGTTTACGCCGGTATAAAAGTAGAAAGAGTCTTGTTCTTCGCTATAGTAGTAAAACTCAAACGTATGCTCGCCATAGTCTGTAATTTCAATTGCTTCATCTTCTAGTTCGTCGACAAATTCGAATACAATATCTCGAAATTTGCTTTTGTTCTTATTGTTTTCAGAACGAGTAACCCAACGTAAATTTTCAAGTCTATTGTCATTTCTTATATGGTTTATGTGGTCTACAAAAGGTAGATTGTTAGGGTTCGGTATAAAATGAGTTGCAATGACAACATGTTTAAGATAGCGTTTCCCACCCATCTTCATAGTAGTATATCCGTCATTTCGCTCCCATTCGCTTAAAACTCTTTTTGTCTTTTTGTTTCTGACTTCAAATGACTCACAACAGTGAATTTCATATTTCTCATCTAACAAACAAGTTTTCCAACAGTCTGCTCCAACAAACTCAGCGTACATTTCAAATAAAATAAAAAAATATATTTTTTAAAAAAATATACTATTTTAAAAATGTTTTTCTTTACTTTACATAACCTCCTGCTACCAGAAGTCTTTGACGCCAACCCATACCAGCTAATGAAGGCTGACTTGGTTTAGTTTGGAAACTAAACTTTGGTTTTGGTTTATCTTCAGTTTTTGGTTTCTCTTCTTCTATCGGTTTTTCGTCACTTTTCGGTTCCTCTGACTTTACCTCACCTGCAGGTATGGTTGTGTCGTCAACATCTTCATAAATATCATATGCCATTTGTTTTTGTTTTCCTTTCAACTTTTTGTGTTTGTTGTAAAGTTTAGAATATTTCGACTCTAAGTCAATGAGATGTTCTATAATGAACTGTTTGTCAGTGAAGTAAACTTTTCCATCTGTTGTCTCGAAAGCTCCTTCAGACTTCAATATTTTATTTGTGAGAGTCTGTTTCTTTTTTGAGATACTTGCCGTTCCATTTCTATGAAAAGTGACTTTATAGTTAGGGTTTGTATTTCCAGACCTTGCACCTTCTATTATTGAATTTTTCTCTTCATCTGTAAGTTCTTTGACAGGTTTTGACAATGGTTCTGAACTTTTTGTTTGTGGTGTCAAATCTACCGTTTCAACTTCTTCGGTCATTTCATCTCAGTAAAAAATTTAGTTTGGTTTGTTTTCAACTGGTTGTTGTTGTTTTTTAAGTCGGTCTAAAACTTCCTGAGGTATAGGAAGAACTTGACAAACACGTTGTGTAACTGCTGGAAGTCGACAAATCCATCTTGAACCCATTTGTCTCAAAGCTGTATTGTTCATTTCATCTCAGTAAAAAATTTTACATTCCCCACGTTTGAGGTGGTTGCGGTTGGTTATTGTTTACCCACTGTTGTGCATGGTTATATCCTCTGTTAAAGAATCTTTCACCTTGGTCCATATAGTGTCCTGCTTGGTTATAGTAGTCATTTGCTTTGTTATAATAGTTTCCTGCTTGTTTTCCTACATTATCCATCCATCCTTGAACTTTTCCTCTTGTTTCAGGATTTGGAATAAGATTTGTTGCATCTCGTGCTACATCCCAACCTTTCTGTACAGTTTGTATAATAGGTTGTGCTTTCTCTTTAAGTATACCTAATGTACTCAAAATCTTCCTTCCAACTCCAAATACACCTCTGGCTATTGTTCCCACTGCGGGCAAAAATCTGGATGCAACTCCTGCTAATGCGCCAAATAAACCCATTTCTTACAGGGTAAAAAATGACGAATCCAAACAAGGACCCCTATGTTTCTAAGGCAACAAAGAAAGCACTCATGGTAAAAATCTTTAGTTCAACACCAAATGCTTGGTTTATGGATATCTTGGAAAACATTCCGAGAGTTAGAACAGATGGACCACCATACTGGCTAATATTTGTCGGTCAAAACACAAGATACTGTGAAGCCATACCATTACAGTCTAAAAATATTTTAGATGTCTTAGCAGCTTTGACAATATTCGTTGACAAATACCATCCAACAAAACTGACATCTGACTGTGAAAGTTCTTTCAAATCAGATGATGTAAAAAACTATCTGCGTTCAAAAAATGTAAACCAATATTTCATTGTCGACCAAAACCATTCTGCTCTTGGTGTCATTGACAGTTGTATAAAAATCTTAAGAGACTTAAACCAACCACAAGGTGGTGAGGTAGATGAAATGTCATATGACGACAAGTACAGACACTTCTCCATGGCAAAGATGAGACAAGTTTTAAATATTTACAATAACCGTAAACAAAAAGGTTTGGGAAACCACTCCCCCGAAGAAATGAAAAACAACCCTGACTTAGAGAAAGACTATATATTTAATAATTTAGTCAAAAGAGACAAACAAGAAAGAATGCCGGGCTTCAAACTTAAGAAAGGCGACAAAGTAAAAATAGAAATACCTAAACGCGACCCATATGAAAATACTATTGACTATGACAACAATGGGAACCCGACAGGTACTCACCTTCGTGTTCGTAAAAATAGAAGAAAGTATACAAGAGAATATTATGAAGTTTTAGGCAAACATGGCAAAATGTACAGACTGCAAGCAGAAGATAAAACTACTATTGTCAGACCTCGTTTCAAACTTGTCAAAGTTCAAGGTGGTATACTTTCAAAGACAGTTCCTAACAAATATAAGACAACTCCTGACGAATATGCTAAAGAAGTTGAAAATGACGACTAAGCAATTCTATACCATGCGAATACAGTCACAAATGGTGGCATATAATCTTCACCCAAGCCTGTTGGATTTGTTGTGAAAGTATGTGAATGATTTCCTCCTGGTTCAGTTGGTCGAAAAGTCTTTTTTGCCGAATGGTTATAATCTGGAGATAAAACGTCATTGCCAGCATAATATTCTGAGTTGTATAATGGATGGTCTCTTAATGAGTGACTATGGTCACCAGAAAAGTTTGTAGTTCCTGTATGAGTGTGCGGTGGAAGGTTTGCTTCTTTAATTTTCTTCGAACCTCCTGTTTCCTTTGAAGAGTTTGCACAATACAAAAACCTGTCAACTATTTGTTCCCATGCACCAACACCAAACATTACTTGAGGACCTCTTGCATCCATAGATGTATAAATAGAACCTACTGGGTTCATTAAATCAAACATATGAGATATTATAGGATTGTCTCTTTTGAACTTAAAATATAGTGCAACTATTTCAGGTTTCTTCTGGTTTGTGTAAGAATATTTTTTATAATATAATCTTATGTTTTCAGGGTAGGTAAAATCTTGACTATAATATTTATTTCTGTCATCTATATAATAATATACTATTCTCGTTTTTTCTATTGCATTATATCTTTTATATCTATAATAATCTAAATATAATGTTTGCTTTTGTTCATCTGCATGTAGTGTTCCTTCGTCATCTACATAGTCATAATAATATGGTGCTGGAGCTGGGTCAGGCAATGTCATATCTGTCATTTCATAAACTCTTAAATATTTCTTTTGTTCGTCTCCATATAAGTTTAAGTAGCAATTGTTGTCTAATGGAACTTTAACTTGTGTACCATCATTCTTTATATAGCTTACATACATTTCATTGTTATTTTTCGGAATGAGTTTACACCGTATACCATTTTTTAAGGAATGTACAAACTGCCATCTAAAATATTTATTTTCTTCATTGAAAGAAAAGTCACCAACAATAGTTTCAATATTTTTTGTTCCTATCAAACTTTGGTATATTTCATTGACATATGTTTTATCTGCTTTCTTTTCAAGGCTAACGTTTAAGTCTGTTATTTCAGAAGATGTATGTGTATGTCCAACGGCACTTTTCCTGTTTAAGGTTTCTTGTAAGTTTGTAATATTTGCAATGGTATGTGTATGTCCAACGTCACTTTTCCTGTTTAAGGTTTCTTGTAAGTTTGTAATATTTGCAATGGTATGTGTATGTCCAACGTCACTTTTCCTGTTTAAGGTTTCTTGTAAGTTTGTAATATTTGCAATGGTATGTGTATGTCCAACGTCACTTTTCCTGTTTAAGGTTTCTTGTAAGTCTGTTATTTCAGATATAGAATGTGTATGTCCAACGGCACTTTTCCTGTTTAAGGTTTCTTGTAAGTCTGTTATTTCAGATATAGAATGTGTATGAGTCTTTTTAGAATATTCGTTTTCAGCTCTTGTCACTTCACTTGACATTTTATTGTCAACATATGTTTTGTCTGCTAGTTCAGGATGAGTATGTTCTTTTGTTGCATAAGCATTGTTAGCTCTTTCTTCTTCTTTTGCTATTGCATCGTCTACATATTCTTTGTCAGCTTTGTTGTCAACATCTGTTTTCAAAAGAAGTTCATTTATAGGTTTCTCGTTTAAAGTTCCTTTTGTTGGATTTATACAGACAGTATGGTTCTTATTGTCTTGAAACAGAAACTCATCTGTCATTGGGTTTAATGTCAGTTTTAAGTTTCCTTCTTTCAATGACTCAGATATCTTAGAATAGTTTGAAAAGTTTGTTGTGTTCTTATTTAGAGCTTGTATAATGAGTTGTCGGTTGTGTTGTATTTCTCTCATAGACGCTGTTTCATTTGACATTTTTATTCTAGATAAAATATGCTTTCAATAGAAAAAGAAAATTCAAGAGTTGCTACAACTAAACCATTAGATGAACTTTTTACGAATATCGGTCAAAAGTTTGAGACAGAGACCGTAAAGCATGAAGGCTATCGTTTTGACTACCCGTTAAGATGGTTAAGAGACCCATCTGTCACAAAAGCTATTGGCTTTCGTAGAATGAAGTTCATTTCAGAAGCCATACATGGTTTCCCATTTACAGTCGGTTTTGAAGTTCGATACTATAACAAAGAAAAACGTATGTATGAGAAATTTGAACAGGGAAAACTTTTACAAGTGAATTTGCTTGTAAACTTAGAAACAACTCTTCAAGCTTTTCAAGAAAAAATAAACGACATCTATATCGAATATGCAAACCAGTATAACATTGACGAGGGAGAGTACCATCTCGATATTATATATGACAGGAAAAATGCAACTGTTAAAATCAATAGAATAGAAGACCTTGGAGAAAACGTTTATATTTCTACAAAATATAACAACTTGGCATGGTATAGATTTATGAGGATGTTAAATCAGCCTGCAGCATATCCAGTACACCCGGACTTTTATGAAGTCGAAAACCCTAATGGAACATATGAAAATGTTTTCGACTCAGATGCTATTATAGTTCATGCTTCATTTTCTGGTGCACAAAACTCTTTTTTATGCTTGGCAAATGAGTTTTACGAAAAACCTACAAAGCTATATGAACCACCAAGTGGAAGTATTTCAGACTTTCAAGTATGGTTTACAACAGATGGAAGAAAGAGAATAATTCCATTATACCATGCGTTTTACTTAGAACTTAGTTTCATATACAACTACTATCGAACGGTAAAAATATAATTTTTTAATACGGTTGAGGTGTTGGATTTGGTTGCCAACTAGACTGTGGTGCAGGTTCAGGCTGTTGTATAACAGGAGCTTGTTCTTCTGGTTCAGGGTCTTTAGGTATAATACCAACGAACTGACCTACTCTTTTACCAATATTTTTGACTCCGTTCCAAATTCCTCTTCCGACAGATTTTATTCCATTCCATATACCTCTTCCAACATTTCGAAAGAAGTTTCCTATTCTTCCAAAGAAACCCATTTTACTATATGTAAAAATCTAATGTCCGCCTAGTCTCTTACGTTTCCTTCTGAGTTCCATAGCATTTTTTAACTGGAGCTCATACATTCTATTTCTCCTCTGGTAGAAAACATATTCTGGGTCAACTCCTGTGTTCGCGTCATCTGCATAAAGTTGTTTATATCCCACTTCAGGGTTTGTATAAAACTCTTTCCATCTCATATTTGCATACCATGGTGGCAAACCTAACGCAGCGTCATTTGACATGGCAGTTTGCATTTGTACATCTGTTGGCACTTGACCATAGTTTGCCATTGCAGTTTGTATTCTAACTTCATTTGGAATATTCTCTGGGTTTGGTTGTCCAGGTTGCTGTGCATTCGCTAAGTTCTGTGCGTCCATTTAATATTAGATAAAAATATCTCTTACGAGTACATATACTGAACATTTGCAGGCATTGGTTCATCTTCATATTCTCTGTACTTTTCTGCCACGTCAAATAAATAAATGACACAATGGAAAAAACCTAAAACAAGTAGTCCTATTTCAAACCACATTTACTTACTAGTAAAATTTCTTTGTTATGACACTTTCTCCAGTTTATAGGACCTCTCTCATATTCTATCTTGTCATATATAAACTCATAGTCATGTATGTCCTCTAACCATCTCATAACGGTTTCCAAACCACTTTTATCGGATGTAAAGTAAAAGCATGGATGGTTATGTAAAACGTCTAAAGTTTCTAAAGAGTCTCTCAAAGTCCAGTCTACTTGGTATTGAAAATCCCATGTGTTATAGAACGGCGGGTCCACTATAAAGAAAACATTTTCCTTGTCTTTATATTTTTCATACAAATCTGTCCAATGACATCTCACAAACTCTATACCCTCAATATATTTTTCTATGTCCTCTTTGAAAACATTTGTATAGTTAAGATATAAAACTTTTGACATAAGTGTTTCAATGTCATGAACTCTTATAGAACCACTATATAATAGTCTAGCAGATATACTATCCCAGTCTATATATTCTGCTTTTTTCAAAACCTCTCTCACAATATTTTTGTTATCTAATGGTATACGTTCCATCTTACCTATAGGTATCTTTTCTTTTAACTCTTTCAATATATTGTTTGTATCTGGTATATGTTTGAGACGGTCCATATAGTTGTCGAAGTCATTGCATATAATCTTTGAGTCTGGGAATATTGTATGGCACAAATGGGATATATAGAAACTTCCACCGAACAAATCTACAAATGTTAGACCATTCGGTAGTTTCTTAAGTTCTCTCAATATAATATCTTTACATCTACTCTTATTTCCAAAGAAGGGTAACGGTGGTTTTGTAAAATTCATTTATATATAATAATAAAAATGTTTTTACCCGAAAAGTGACAGAAAAGTGACAAAACATGAAAACATATATAATTTGTGAAAAGCTACTGGAAGACCCGTATATAAGAACTTCATTTATACTAAACATCTTCAGGGCTAGAAGGCACGAAGTGCCTGGAAGCCCCACTTCCTTTTTTTTTTTTTTTTTTTTTTTCGAAAATAGATTTTTTCGGTTTTCTCTTCAAATAATTGAAAGAATGATACTATTATAGGTTTATTATATTATATAGCATATACTCATGCTATAGCCGAAAATTATAAGTTTTGAGAAGATTGAATATAACACAAATAAATTTGAATGTAAGTTAAATTGCTTGTTGTTTTTAATAGCTATTCAATGAGAAATCCAATATTGCAAAATTCAAATTGAATGATTGAAAGAACAGAAAAAGTCATTCTTTTCAATTTCGAATATGTTTCATTGTATTTATAATTATATGGCAAATACGATATTTACACTTGATTTTTGAAGGAAAATTCACAAAATTGAATAAATTCAAATAATTTTAATTCAAAAATAAACTAGTTATTTGAGTTTAATACTAATTATCTATTCAAATTACAAAGTTTGTAATTTAAAATATTTTGTGAGATCAGATTGAATTAATTCAAGGTTCTTTTCACTTAATATTAATGACCATATTACGCATTTTCGAACATTCTAAACCAAATATATAAAAATGGGAGACGAATGTTAAATTTGCTAGACATGGGGGAGTTGTCTGCAAAGTTTTAGCTCTTATCTCTAACAAAAAAATAATTTTTAAAAAAATGACCGAATACGTTTCACAGCGAGAAAAAAATAAAAGGCAAGATAGAATCTTCTAGACATAAAGAAGTTGTTTACCGAGTTTTAGCTCTTATCTCTAACAAAAAATTACTTTTTAAAAAAAAGACCGAATACGTTTCACAGCGAGAAAAAAATAAAAGGCAAGATAGAATTTTCTAGACATAAAGAAGTTGTCTGCAAAGTTTTAGCTCTTATCTCTAACAAAAAATTAATTTTTAAAAAAATGACCGAATACGTTTCACAGCGAGAAAAAAATAAAACTGTACGCTGATTTTCATTTTCATTTCCAGTCACTTTACTTATTATTTTTTCTTTTTTTCATTTTAATTATAAATTATTTCATAATACGTTTATTTACGTTACCATTTTCTTTATTCTTTTGAATTCCATACTAGACACTTATAGAATATTTTGATTGTTAACGTACTTCATTAGAATGAATCCTTACAAAGGGTATGTCGATCGAATTTATCTAATTGGTATTTCCAATCAGATTGAAGAAGGTAAAATGACATGGGAAGAAGCTTGCACCCATGTTCCCATCGCCCCAACCCTTCAATCAAATGATTTCAAATATTTAGATGTTTCAAAATCTTTTTTACAAAATCAATTTAGCTTACAGAATATCCCATTGCCTAAAGGCAAGAAAGGTCGTAGGGTCAATCCCTACGACCAAATCAAAGCTCTTGCTGTGATACATGACCACTGGGCCTTTCCCTGTGGTCAAACAAAACAATGGAAACGTTTGAAATTACAACAAATTGATGTATCTTATAGAGAAGTACGCAGATACTTCAAAGAAAATCATTTCACCAAGACGCGATTAGAGCATGCCGGGCCAGAAACAGCAGTAAGATATTGGGCTCTTTCACCCAATCTTATCTGGCACGCAGATGTTCATTATTTTAGGGGTGTTCGTGGCCAGTATATTTATGGCATAATCGACGATTTTAGCCGCAAAGTCCTAGCGTGTATACAAATACCATATATGCTGGCAGCGACGACAGCGAACGTTGCGGCTTCCGCCTTCATTGAATTTGGCGCCCCTTATTGTAGTTAGTATCTCTATCTTGGGTACGGCGGCACTGCGTTCCACCTTACCCAAGATAACGGTTTGACACTTTACGAAACCGGTAACGTATATTTTACAACACAACTATAACACCAACTTAACCTTAAATATTTACAAAACCATCTGACACATAAACGACTTCACTAACGAATTCACTACCGCCCTCACTAAATAAAAAATAACCTTATTTTTATTTTTTTTAATTTTTTATTTCATTACAAAGACATGTCCGACTACATTTACTATGACTCTTTCCCAGAACGTTTCCGTGAACTATTCAAAACTCAAGTAAAACTGAGAAACATGCATTTTAACAAAGACAGACCCATTGACGATGAAAGAAACCCTGAATATATTACAATCCCATATGACGCAAAGTTCATTGCATACATTCCTTATGGTCGCAGAGGAACGAAAACTATTTCAACAAAGAACAAAAATTATTTCTGGAGCGATGAAGAAAATTGCCTTATCTACATAAATGCATACTTAAATAAAGCTACATATTGTACAAAAGAAGGTTGGACTGGATTTGAGCTCTACATATACGACGACGATGGAAACAGACGTTGTGTATACCCATACGATAATATGTACCATTGTTTTCATCAAGCATTAAACGAATACATAGTCAGTAAGGGTCTCA